AGGACATCATTATTCAATATCACTATCTAGTTGAAAGGAATTAGAAAGTGTATATGGACATCATTGTTCAATATCACTATCTAGTGGGAAGGGGAAGGAATGACTTTCCCTCAAAATGTCAGAAAGTACTGAAGATCTGCAGAAGATTTGCAGAAAAAGATCACATCTCATATTAGTTGTTGGAGTGAATATACTTATGAACTAATCTACCAACAATGGTATAATAAATAAGGGGTTTTTATTGCATATACAATTAGTGAAAGTTTGATTTACATAGACCATCGGATGCATGCCAAAAAATTTGTATCTCCAACAGTTTATTTAGATTTAAATATATATAGCCTACGAAATACATAAGGCTATCTCAAAGCCGCTGCATTTGTGCCACAGACGAATGAGGGCAGAGACTGTCCAACTACTTAAATAGAAGTTATCCACAAGACAACAAGCCTTTGAAGTAATAATTGAACTCAACTAATATATCATCTAGCCGCAGCTTACAAAATAGATTAAAAAAACAGTAATTTAGATCAGTACAATCATCTACAAAATTCAGGCATACCACCATTTACCAATACAACCGAACGGTGGAGACTTGTCTCCATCAGGCGGGAGGAAGCTCATAGGACTCCCTGTGGCAGTGTAACAATAATTACTAGTTTAGAACAAATTCAACTCTAAAAACCATATATAAACTCGAATTTCAACAAAAACTTACTTAAATCCATACTCTTGCAGAGCCTGCTGCATTCCCGGGCTACCTCTACCTCGCGGCACTTGATCTCTACACGGCGTAGGCGCCCACGGTGGTCGAGCTTCTCCAAAAGCTCGATGACCGCGTGGACCTGCTCCCCATTGTGCAATAACAGACACTGCTTGCTCGTGATCTCTTCTTTCACTCTTTGCATCCTCAATATGCCCGCATCATGCCTTTGCTTGGGCATGGAGCAAGTATCGTTTGAAGGAGAGACAACAAAGATGTTATGGATGGGACATAATCTACATAATCATCAAAGATCAAGATCAGTACTTACTTCCTGTTTAGGGCACGGTTGTTCCGACGCTTGGCTTGATCGTACTTAGCTTTGGCCTCTCTGAACTCCTGTTGGGTCACGAGTAGCTGCTGGGCAAGTACGGGCGCCATGCCGAAGAGGGCTGGTCTGCCAAAATTGAGGGGAGAGTGATAAGGAGAAGAGAAATGAAATGACCATGGAAAAGAGAGAGAACGACAATTCAGATTAAGAAACCAAATCAAACATAGGTCAGAAAGCTTTTTAAACCCAATTTAGGTCCATAAATATGTGTTAGGACAATAATTCCTTCGATATTTTATTGATTTATTGCGTCAGTTAATGAAAACACTACCCATAGCTTCTGGTAAGTTGACATTATATGCCTCTATCAAATGAAGGACTTATTGTTTTGCTGCATTTTGGTTGGGTTTTGCTTCTCGTCTGCTTAGTGAAAATGATAGGGAGCATTGCTGAAAACCGGAAAATTTGCAGACTAGCCCTCGACTGAGCAGATGGATGTTTCTCGAATTCAACCATGCTGCGTGATTGTAAAATGACTTTCTTCACCGAAAAGAAAAACTCAACAACAATGCAGAAAATGGAAGTTTTGAGTGATGATGTTCGAGAGTACAGGAAAATAAATAGCAAGAAATCCCGTCGGGGAAGTTTTGAGTGATGAAGTAATTGGAACTTGTGCCTAGGCGAGGGCGGCCCTTGCCCAGGCTGCGAGCCACCCTCGCCGGATCTGGCGAGGGCGGCAGCGGCGAGGGTCGTCCATGCCGGATTCGGCGAGGGTAGCCCTCGCCCAGGCCGTGAGGGTCCAGCCCTCGCCCTCGCCGGCCCTGGCTGTAACTGGTCGCTGGCCATAGGCCAGGAAGAAGAAGAAAAAAAAAATTCTTTTTCATTTCTAATTCTTGTTCCCAGAATCAAGAAGCAACTTTTTTTTTTGCTTCTTGATTCTGTTCCAAAACTGATTCTGGTAACAAATTGTTACAAATATGTGCCCGGGAACAAAAAATTTACCAAACGGATTTCTATTCCAAAACTGATTCTGGGAACAAAAGAATAGAAATAGTTACTATTTGGCCGATTGCCAAACATGCCCCTAGGGTGCGTTTGGTAACTATTTTGTTCCCGAAAATAATTTCTAATCAGAAATAATTTTTTTTATTTCATTTCCGAAATAATTTCTACGCATTTGAAAGCATTTGGTAACTACCCAAAATTTCTATTCTTGGAATAGAAAAGGAATAGAAATGCGTTTTATAATTGCACAAATTTTCTTTTTATTAATAATATTTTAATGATATTTTGAATTTTTGAATTTTTCTTTCTTTTTATTTTTCCTTTTTTTTTCTCCTTCCCCTTCCCTGGTCCATGACCAGGTTGTTGGCACTGGCGAGGATCCAGCCCTTGCTGGCCACAGGCGAGGGCCGCGATGCCGCCTGTGGCCGATCGCCGGCGACCGGCCACGGTCAAGAAGAAAACGAAGAACAAAACCAAGAAGAAGGAAAAGCAAAATTCTTTTCCATTTCTAATTCTTGTTCCCAAAATCAAGAATCAACTTTTTTTTTATTCTTGATTATATTCCAAAATTAATTCTAGGAACAAATTTGTGCTTGGGAACAAAAAATTTACCAAACAGATTTTTATTCTTTTTTTTTTTTCGAAAACAAAATAATAGAATCGAGTACTGTTTGGCAGGTTACCAAACAGTCCCTTAGGGGCAAAAGTGGGAACTTGATGCCCTGCTCCCCTCAACGTCACAAAAGTCAACCCGTCGGTGTAATAGTCCAACCTCTGACCTAGACCACACAAAAAATATAATTTTCAGCCAAAATAAATAAAAAGAATAAAAAAAACATGCACAAAATAAAAATTGCTCACAAGTTCAAATGAACTTTACTAAATTCCCAATATCGATTTTATCTATTAGGGCCACCATCAAATTGGATTGTGTCTGCAATTATGATGCGATCGAAAAATTAAAGGGTGCGGTAAGTTATATTATCATAGTTAGAGACTAATAGAGGAAATTATCTCTCTGCCCTTGTACCACTACGTGATGTCGAGGCCGAGCTTGTTCAATGTGTACCGAGTCGACGTCACCGGTATCCTCCGGTCCGTGTCTCCACTGCATCGCGGAAGTTTTTAAATTAATTAAACGAAACCCGAAATTACCAATTTAATTAATGAATGTAAATTAAACTAATCGACTTACCTGAAGACCATAAGCGAATACCCCCACCTATGAGCTTCTTCAGTACCGGGCGGACCGAAAAAGGGCATGTCTTTCCAAGAAAGGTTCACCTCGAAGCTTAATTAATATTTGACCCAAAATTAGCAAAGATTGATATCTTTATAATTAGCCTCATATTCAAGAAAATCAAGAAATTATACTTTAATCACCTGCAGAGGCACCATGGTTGAGGGATTAGGGCGACATTCACCTGCAGCGTCGCATTGCACATCGGGAAGGTTAAAGTAAGCCGTGGTGTGGTTCGTCAGGCATGGATCGTAGCCCGCTAGTATCATGCGCAAGAGTTGCTATCAGATCAAGAGAGATTAGTCATTAGATTAAGCTAATCATCGCGGAAAAAAGAAAAGTTATGTTGAAAAAGCAAAATAACGGTGAATCCATGGAACTGGTCCCCAAGTGGATCCATTGAATCAGTCTCCAATTCCTACAGATTTGCATTCATCAATTAATATAATGGTGAATTTAGTGAAAAGATAAAAGGTAAGAATAATAACGAAATATGCATGATTGTCTTACTTATCAAACACGAAATGATATTGTGGTTTTAGAATGAATGCTCTCATTTTTTTAATATATGTATACACATATACTGGTCCAGTTTGGGTGGGCAGTTCCATGCCTTGAATCGGAAACTAGATTGTTTTCATGAGAACCACCGGTTCTAGGCCGGTCTGGTTCGGTTCGGTTTCGGTAGTTCTTAATTCCTTTGCACATCTCGACTCTATTTCTCTAAATCTAAAGTGACACCGGTACCACGGCAAAGAGACATCAGGGCTTTGCTCCCTCGCTCTCAACCGTTCCACCTTACATTTTGTTCCTTACCTTTTTTTTCTTATCATTTTTGTTATTTTGTAAATTTTTCTTATTTGTTAAACTTGAATTTTAGGTTGGGCCAAAAACAACTTCAATTGCAATTTTGAAATAGCTTGTGCTCTGTTTTTTCTACCTAACTATTACAAACCGCCGCTTTATAGTCATATGAAGTGGAGGATTTGATTGCACAAACTAGACAAATCAAGGACTTAAATAGGGAAATTAAAAAAACTTAAGAGATAATGACACAAATAACTTCTGAATTTTGATCAAATTGTAAAATATGGTCTATGAAATTTAATTTGTTCAATATGCCCCATGAATTTTAGCTCAATATTTACTGTAGTTTCTAAATTTTTAATTTGCTCAATGTGGTCTCCAGACTTTTGATACATGTTTAAGTTAGTTCTCGAACTGTATGAAAAATTTCAATGTCATCCTTTTATAAATTCAAGTTTAGGGACAATATTGAATATTTTTCATATAATCCAATGATTAGATTGAATATGTATCAAAAGTTCAGGGACCACACTGAACAAATTGAAAGTTCAGGAATGACATTACATATTGAGCTAAAGTTCAGGGATCACGTTGAACATATTAAAAATTCAGGGATCATATTACGCATTGAGTCAAAGCTCATAGATTATTTACGTCATTTTTCCAAAATCAAAGGACTAAATTGTACATTTGACATAAATTAGAGGAGCAAAAGAAAACTTTTTATGGCTCGGGGATTGCCCGGTCGGCGCGCGGCGATGTTGACCTGTGCATCCCTCCCCATCGCGGTCTCACCACAAGACGACGTTGCATTTTGTCTCCTCCCAATGGCAACGACAACAGACCAAGAAAAAAAACAAATTAAAAAGAAAAGGGAAAAAAAAAGAAATAGATAAAGAAATAAAATTCATCGTCTTCCTCCTTCCTCTGACGCCGGTCCGATTCCGATCTCTCTGCAGCTTCTTCTCCCAACGCAGATCTGCAGTCTTCCTCTGCTCCACCAACCAGCATTCTCGCACGCACGCAGAGAGAGAGAGAGAGAGAGAGAGAGAGAGAGAGAGAGAGAGAGAGAGAGATGGCGGCATTCATGAAGCTCGACGACTCCCCCATGTTTCACAAGCAGGTCATCTCTCTCGCTCTGTCGATTTCCCCTTTCTCTCTTTTCTCTTCGATTTCGATTTGACTCGTCGTTCTTCTCGCTCCGCGCTTCCTCGCGGAGACCGCCGCACGACCTCGATGGAGCAATTAGTTGTTTGCTTGATCCATTCGTGGAGTAGGTGGATGTTTTTTTTTTTGTTTTGGCTGCTTCCGCCGTCTTCTTTCGTTTCATTCGGGCTGTTCCTTTGTGTGGTAACGTTCGATACCTGGTCGCGTCTTTCGAGGCTTGCGCTTTGGTCTGTACTAGGTTACTTGTCGGTTCAGCTGATTTTGATTGGTTTCGCATGTTGAAGCATATTGATTCTGCTCTTAATATGACTCGTGCGCAACTTTGTTTTTTTTTTTTTTTGTCCTGGCATTGAATTATCCTCGCGGCGATTTGGCGATGAACTTTCGAATTACTTTGTAGAAGTCTTCATCTTATAGTAATCATAACGCTATGCTCAAATGGCAATACAGATTTTTTCTCTAGAACAAATGGCGGAGGAGTTGAAAGAGCGTTGCCAGACATTATACAGAGGCTCCGCAAAATTTATGTAAGTGGCTTACATTGTGCCATTCCTTTTCTTTTTCCCTTTTTTTTTTCCAGTTGCGCAAGTACATGGCGGACTGGGTTGTAAACGAATTGGAGAGGTCAATTCCCTGTTTTGCAATGCCAAGGTCCATACTGATCAGTCTACATAGTGTTTCTATTGCCTCGTCGATTGGATAGCGAATTTTTATTTGGTGGGCATTTTATAATATATAGTTCACCAGTGGTACTTCAGTATGAGGATGCTTATGTGCACTTGAATGTAAAGTACATCCTGTCATATCTGCTACTGTATACTATGGACTCCCCTGCAGTACTATGCTCTCTATCCTTGCAACCCCTGCCTCCAAAACTTTTCTCTTTCGTTAAAATAATGACTTAAGGCGTTTGCCTTATGTGGGCAATTGTCTGTTCTTGCTATATCTAAGGAATACAGATGACCAGCTCTGGGACCTTTCGTGTATGACTGGGAGAAACTTCCTTACTGCCCCTAGGAGCTTTGTTGGTTTCGCAAAGCTTACTTCGTGGCACTTTTCTCTAAACATTCTCTGATGCTAGTGGGTCGTTACGTGGTGATTTCTTCATTTTGCCTTGGGAATCGTATGATTAAGTGGCCCCATGGAGTATCTTCAGTAGATATGATTAAGTGGCCCCACTGAGGGATTTGGATTTTCAGCTGCTTCGATTTACCTTATATGGCTGGAACATGAGGGGAAAAACTGTCATTCTAAAGTAGTTACTAAAGAGGGTGCGCGATATCAGCTAGAAATTTCAAATATGAACGAATACAATTGGAAGCTTTTAGGAGGATTTGGCTTTTGGTTTATAATTTTCTGACAGACATGATAATTGCATTGTCTTTTGTTCTGTTATATAAAAAAACACTATACTGTTATTGTGGAGCTTCACCTGGCAATAAAAGCAGTTGATGAAAACCTTCTAAGTAATTAGTCAATGATATTTAAACCTTTAAACCTCCAACATGCTTTAATGGGAATTAGTGGATATTTTGAAAGAACTGGGGTCGTCATGCATATTCAATAAAACACGACAGCTGTCATGGCAATCTGCCTTATTTTCTAGCTTTCCCTCATTTATGAACTGGATTTAGAAGTCCTAAATATATCACATCCACCATTTTGGTTTTCTAACTGTGTAAAGTACCTTACCAGGAACCTCCGTGACGTTTCTAATTTTATTCTCAAATCGAACTTACCCTCCCATATGCTTGCTCAAAGCTAGAGTAATAGGCCATGCACTGGATTAATGTTTAATGTCTGCTCTTTCAGGGCATCTCTTGGTGAAGCATGTAATGCGGACACAACATTCGTAGATTCCTTGGAAGCATTTGGTGGTGGACAGGATGATCCAGTTAGTGTGTCAATAGGAGGTTATCAATATAAGTCTGAGCAATTTTCTGGTTTACTTCGTCGAGTAAACCATTTAAAACCTGAAGCCCCATCGTATTTTTGCTTATATTTTTGTTTGTTGAATTTTGAGATGTACAATAACAACTCAAGTCTTGTTGTGGATAATTTAAAAACTGTGTATTGTATTTGCATTATCTGCTTGTTTCCAGGTTGGCACTTCTTAATTGGGTATGTTGTAGTTGATTGCTGTTAGAAAAGAATAAAAAAGCCTCGTGCATTTACCGTTCACTCTTCCTGTTATGTACTTTAAAACTAATAAAGTTGAGCATGCTACTTTTTCATATTTCGTACAATTAAACATAGGAATGAGATGTGACGACTGTATGAGGACATACAGCATCATTCACTTGATATAATTAACTGAGTTGTTTTTCCATTTACTCTATGAGTCCTGCTGTTACATTGTTATCTTTGATACAACTGGCACGGTGGGATATGACAATAAGCAAATGTATTAATATGGAGTGGCTAAGCTAGTGCTTTGTTCAGACTACTTGCCTTTTCTTCCCCAATGCTTGAGTTTGGTCAGTCCTTTATTCTAGGTTTCTTGTGCTGAATTTTTCCTTAAAACAAATGAATCAACTGGTAAAATCCCTGTTCCAGATGGTTTTGGAGGAGTCATTCAAATTTTGTTCCATCCTCTACTTGTCTCAGGTCCTGTGATATCCAAGTTCATATCAGCATTTCATGAGCTTGCTTCTTACAAGGAGCTTTTGCGTTCCCAGGTAATTGCTTGCATTGCATCTAGTAAGATAGCTTAATATGTTGTAATAGATAGCATTTCTAATATTATTAAGAAAGACATCTATGAAGGATGATTCTTTTGGTCAGCGAAATGGAAAGTTTCACTAAAGAGGCACGAAGAAGGTGCTGACTCATGTTCAGAAGAAAAGGGCATCAAAAATAGAGAGAATATCTTATATTTGTTGAAGCATTTCAACCTTGAAAGTTTTTCATTATGCCAAAAGTCTGAAGCTTTAAACTGTCTATCCCGGAAAAAATTGTTAAGGCTTCTGAATTTGCAAACTAGCATAAATGAGAGAGGACTAGCAGAGATGAACTCTTTCTTCTTGGAGGTTTGTGCCTCGCCAGGCCCAAATCTCTTGCTCCATTGAACCTGCCATAGCACAGTTCATCCCTTTAGAGGCATGAGATGTAGTCCAAAACTGTCACGTCCAAGAGCAGGGGGGGAAAGATGTGAGGCACCGCTTTCTGTTCCCTACTCTACAAAACTTAATGGCTTGGCAATGCTCGGCACCTCTTTTTACTGTTCTCCAAGCATAGAATCCATCGCCACATGCTTTCCCAATCAGAAGGAGAGATTTCCATTGGAAACTTTCTTTTTCAAACTGTTTTCCAAGGAAAATCTGGTCTAGAACAGTAAGAATCAGTATTTGCCAAGTCCGTAGAAAGATTGCTTTCCTTTCTTACCTTGCCTTGAACCTTTGACCTTGAGGTTGAATATCTTGAGATAGATTTCACTATCGAATCATTGCTTTAGTCCTTTTCCATAGGACAATTTTCTCTCTATTTGGAAGAAATTAGGGATATGTTTCTTGGGAGACTCAATGTCATGCTAATGTCATGCCAAAAGTGAGTTCTCCTCTCATGTCCCAGCTTAAATCTCACATGGCTTAGGAAGTCCCGAACTTCTATAAGTGATCTAATTGCTTTGTATTGTAAGTTATCTTCCTGCCTTTTCAAGCCCATGCAACTCATTCTATGCTGATTGGCCACCACCATCTTTTGCAGAACATGATTTATTTCATTTTGAATAGTTTTTTGGGTGTTCTCACTAGCATCAAATAACTTTTGCTTAATGAAGAGAGGTGGGTAGAGAAGAAAATACAAGAGGTAGGGTTATCAGAGGCTGATGAAGAGCAGAGAGTAGCTGGGAGAGAGAGAAAACCCGGTGAGGCAGTGCGGGTGATGTTGGAGATGTGTGATTGATGGTGACACTAGGTTCCTAAATTCATCATCATCAGTAATTGATGTAGCCTTCATCTTCCTCTTAGTTGTCGTTTTTTGATTCAAGCATAGAGCATAAGTGGGCGCATAAAGAAGCCAAGTGCTTTAGTAATCAATAAATATGCATGGCCACTGGTCATTAACCATTTTATAGCGGGGGTCTATACATTAGGTATAGATCTAAATGGCTTTTGATTAGTCTTGTGTTATTCTCCACATGCTACATCTATTCTGGAGCTTTTGTATAGCAATATCCACGTCATGGTGGTTGTGGGCCAATTTCAGTTGCTTGAAATAGCTTATCAGAATTTGATATGATATAAATTATGGTTGGAAAAAAAGAAAAGAAAGGTTGGATCTAAATGGCTTTTCATTAGTCTTATGTTATTCTCCACATGCTACATCTATTCAGACTATTCTGGAGCTTTTGTATAGCAATATCCATGTCATGGTGGTTGTGGGCCAATTTCAGTTGCTTGAAATAGCTTATCAGAATTTGATATGATATAATTTATGGTTGGAAAAAAAAAGAAAGGTTGGATATAATATAAAGTTTCTTTACAGGTGGAGCATGTATTGGTTGATCGCTTGACGCAGTTTGTAAATGTGGATATGCAAGAGGCGAAGGTATAGAATTTTTTTTTCCTGGTGCATCCTTTCTTGTTTACATTTTTCAGTAGAAGAGAATTATCGGTTGGCAGGGAGGGGTGGTAAGCCATGCACAATATCAGATATAAGATAGTCAATAACATCTTATTGAAAATTGGTTGACTCTTACACTTTTTGGTGTAGTGGAAACTTACTTGTGGATGTAAATGCTTTCTTCGACGTAGTATGCTTTGTCTCGTAACTGAGCTCTTTTTGGGTTCGTGAGCTCTTTTTATATGTGGGTTTGCACCCACTTGGTGCCCTATAGTAGTTTATCTTTTACCTATATCAAATAAAAAGCCCAATACAGTCAATAAATTGCACAAGAGAGCAGCCATTAACTGGAAGCGGCTGAGTTAATCACAAATATAGAGCTTAAAGTCATTTATAATTGTGAAGAGAAGATCTAGCACTGGTCATTCCAAACATCTCCTGTTTCTTTTGTTTAAAATTTTCATCCCCATGGGACTGTAGAATGTTATTTGCTACTCTTATACTCGTCGCTGAAAACCTTTCCATGCTCAGAGTGGATAAGCAATCCAAACAGTTGTTTGACCCAGTAATACCTATCGAATATTGTAAATCCATTGGTATTTTGACAATATTCTTTAGTTCTGTTCTCAAAATGTGCTGGAGTCTTCGGTTCTTATTGACAATAAGAAAAGTGGTGCCATTTGAAATTGTTTGGACTTAGTAGACAGGTTTACTTTTAATATGTCAAATTGAACATTACAGTTACATCTCATTACCATTGTTCATCAATAGGCTCACTTTTATTGTATGACGATGTGAGTGACCTGTTGCAATGAAACTTTTATGCTTTTGCTTTTGTTGCTTGCATGTGCAATTGTTTCACAGGAATCCCGACGACGCTTTGACAAAACCGGACACTCTTATGATCAGGTATTGAGATTTGACTATACATAAATTTCACAAGTCTTATTACTAAATTTCAATTTTTGTAATTGCCTCTCTCTCTCTCTCTCTCTCTCTCTCTCTCTCTCTCTCTCTCTCTCTCTCTCTCTCTCTCTGACATGCACATATGGGCGTGCACACGCGCACACAACCATGTGAAACACCTTACCTGACCAGCCTGCCTTGCATGAAAAATAGCAGCACGATTGTGTTCCAACAAGCCTGATCATCTCTCAAAAAATATGGTGCTGCTTATATGTGAATAACACGCGACAAATGCTGAGACTTAATTAAAAAAGTTCTTGATATCATGGAAAATTATATATTAGAAAAACTAGGAAACAAAATATTGATTATGAAACTTCTGGATAACTTATATGATGTGAATAGAGATGTAAAACCAGAACCAAAACAAGGGCTAAATTAGAAAGAATTCAAGCTAGAACAAAGATAAAAATTCTAGGGTTGGAGAAACCAATAATGTCTGGTGAAAAGAGACTAAGTAACATATAAAAAAGCTAAATGAAAAAGAGAAACAATTAAACTAGGAGAATGCAAGATTATTCAGATTTAGACTTAAAAAGTATGGAAAGCAACACTTTGGTCCCTAATACTTGACCATTTTGTATAGCTTGGTCCCTAATATTTAAAACTAAGCTTTTATTCCCTTAGGTTTCATTTTTGGGCAATCTTTGGTTGTTGACCCTCATTTGCGATGGATTTGGGACGTGATTATTGGACATGACAAAAGTTTTGAGGGTATTCTTGGGTCACCTTTTGATTCTCTATATTGGTTATGACCTATGTAATTATGATGTCAACTCTCTGTTAAGTTTTGTTGCCCAGATTTGACAACAATGACAGTCTAGGACTTAAATGAAAGTTTTAAGACTAAAACCTCATTTTTTTAAATCAGAGACTAAACCCCGAAAACATGGTCAAACTTTCTAGATCACAGAAACAATAATCCTTATCATTGAACCTTGAAATTACTGTTATAACTTAGGATTAAACCTTCCATCCACATTGAATTCAAAATGAATGCCTTTTCTTGCTGTACTTAGAGAAAACATTCACAGTTTGGAATCATAAATGAAAATGAGGTTTTAAACTAAAAAATTCTAGTGTTTAAAAAACTTGAATTTATTTAATGCAAAATGGTTTATAAGAAGTTGCTGTGCATCTTAATACTTTTTAATTTGAAAATTTAGATACTCGACTACTTACAAGCTGTTCAAGTGTTAGTAGCCGACTAGAATTAGTATTGGAGCTCGAGTCAAAGTTGCTAGATGGAACATTGTTGGTGGTAGAATAGATTTTCTTTGGAAAGCAATTTGGAAAATGAGGTTTTCGGCAAGAGTTTCTTTTTTCACTTGGGAAGCAACTTGGGAATGAATCATTACTTACAACAAAGAGGCAAAGTGCCGGTTCGTAGGTGTTTCCTCTGCAAAAAGGAGGCAGAGACCATGCGTTTTCTCCTCCTTTATTTTTCTTGAACGAGAATGGTTTGGACAGCCTCCCATGCTTGCGTTTTTTATATCTTGGGTTATTGGAGGTTCTATTGGGCCTGGCAGGGCATTCACTTACAGGGCAACAAGAAAAGAAGGATTACTTCAATTCCTCTCTGTTTTTTGGTTGATTTGGATGGAGCGGAACAACAGAGCTTTTGATGGAGAGGAGTCTTTTGTTTTTTAAATGGAAAATTGGCTTAAAGTTATACACTTTTTACTAAGTGGAAACTTGCTTATGGATGTAAATGATTTGGTTGATATAATAGATGCTTTGTCCTGTAATTGAGCTCTCTTTTGGTTTTGTGAACTCTTGTTGTATATGGGTTTGCACCCAGTTGATCTTTTTACCCATAAAAAAAGTTACGCTAGGGCATATTCGTGACTCTCTCTCATTTGTGCATCAAAGGGAGTGACTCACGGATCCCTTGCGCTACTCAAGTCCCTGCTCGTGGGACACACGAGCCTGGCGTGTTTTACGAGTTGTACTGTGGTGACTCTTTGGGCATCTTGCATAAATGGGATCACTTCTCAGGGATAGTTATCAACGAAGAATTGCGCATGGATATTAGTTTTTGTTGACAAGATGTTCTGTACATCAGCATTTGGCCTATACATCTTTAAAGAGGTTCCTCTCAAAGGTTATGTTGAATTCAGGTGTCATTATGGCCTAGGTACTTGTGGTGTTATTAGGAACAAAGCCATTGCCATGGACCTCATGTCGGAGGCCTTGAGTCCCATCGGTTATTTGGTATATTTTGAGGTCCATAATACATGGTAGAATAGTAGCACTACACAAACTACGAAAAACATTTGGAATCTATGCTGTTATACTTCAGTGTCCAAGAAGGTGATTTCTGTCAATGGATGTATCATGTATTGGTCAGTCCTTCACTCTTTGCCTCTCTCTTTTTCTCATTTAGTTTGGAGCTTAGCTTGTTGGTGGGGTTTTATAAGAAGGAACTGATGGCTTACAGGAAGCCATCATATGAGAACGATAATCTGATTTGGATATTAATATATAGATGCCTTATTTTCTTTCTAGAAATCTGATTTCATTGTCATGACATTTTGGGTTATGTATGTTCTAATTGGCAGGCCCGTGAAAAGTTTGTGTCTTTGAAGAGGAGTACGAGAGGAGACATTGTTGCTGAACTGGAAGAGGTAATTCTCGGTATAGGATCTTTGATATCCCTGAATTGTTTATTCTGCTTATCAAATATCGCATCAAATCTGAGAATGTTCGGCACTTTGTCTTGTCGATACAAAAGAGGAAAAAAGGAAATATTGAATGCTGAACTTCTGTAAACTATCTGGAGGAATTTTTGGGTGGCTCTCCCTCTCTGAAAGGCTTTCTGTCTCCATTTGTTGTCATTATTGTTGTCAATACGAGTGATCTTATTTCTTATGGAGATGGCCTCTTTCAACTGTTGGTCAAATAATCTATTAATTGAATTACTGGGATAATGGTATTTATTACATTTCTTAGCGATGACAGGATCTACAAAACTCCAAATCAGCATTTGAGAGAAGCCGCTTCAATCTAGTAAGTTTACTTTATGTCATCTTTGTTTGTTTTCTTTCTACTTGGAAATTATCTCGTTTGGTCAATGTTATTGCTTCTGATTGTTATTCCATCATTGTTTCAAGGAATGCAGGTGAGTGCACTCATGAATATTGAAACGAAAAAGAAGTATGAATTTTTGGAATCTATAAGTGCAATCATGGACGCACATCTGAGATATTTCAAGCAGGTTTGCTTCTTCAGCTTTTGTGGGGTGCTTTTTGTTTTTCCTATATGCCTTGTTTTGACCATAACTTGTCGGCATTCATTCTTTTGTGCTGTTCATGCTTCAGGGTTACGAGTTATTGAGTCAATTGGAGCCATTTATTCACCAGGTACAGTCACAATTGAAACTTTATCAAAATCAGATTTTATTTCCCCAATTTTGCCTTCATATGAATAGGAAGTTTTGTGGCTTGTCTATCATCTTCAAATGGCTCTGCATAGGTGATATGGCCATGTGAAATGGGGTCTTTGTCCATCAAAATAGATTACACTACAGATCTGCTGATAAAAATGGCAAATGTCAAACTCATCCTTTAGTATAGCATAGTCTTTCAAAATAACAGTATCACTGTAACCATCTCCATCCAAATGATCTTTCCTAGCCCTTTATCTTACATTATTTAAATATCTCTTTTTGATTATAGATTAACGTATAGAGTCATAATCATGTTGCTATATACAACTACATTTAACGGTTGCCAATATGAGAACATGTCATGAACAAAGATGGTTCATTGACTGGCATTGCGCCTTAGCCTTTTGCTTAGAGATGGTAATTCAATCATTATTGGTTGGCTTCATTATGTGACATAAATATAGAGATGTGTGTGGAAGAAATGAAGAATGGATTTGAAAAGGGGGAATCTATGTCTACTCTTGGTGCTTTCTTGAATCTATCCTTTTGTAATCTAAACGTCGTTGTGTGGCATTCACATGTAGATCCATACTTTAAAAAATCTAAAGAAAAAGTGAGAAATGTGAGTTAAACTAAACACCATCCAAAATGGGGTCTACAAAAACAAAGAATTGAGTGTCAATGATTTCTCCTGAGCGAAGTACCTTATTGGGTGGCCAAAACGTAAAAGCTTTCTGTTTTTCTGGAAGAATGGAATGAGGAATTTAGACAAGTGATTCTTGTTATTTACTCCCACTAGTTGTTATGTCTATTCTTGAGTATACTAAATGCTTTATTTAGAGCCTACTAGTTTGAGTTATCACCTTAAAGCTATTTTCACTACACTGCTGCCCTGCTGTTCTCCTTAAACCTAAAATTACCAGTGCTACAATCTAACCCTCAGAGAAGCCTTTTCTGCACAAGTTAGAAAACTCCCTCTTGTTTTCTTCTTGAAGGGAGGATGATGTAAAGCCTTAGCCCTCAGGCTAGTTCACAAATTTTGTAGTAATATTATTGCGAAGAATGCATTATAGGCGGAAGTTCAAAAAGAGTTGTTTAGCTTATCTAACTTAGGCGATGTGCTGTACTTCGAAGAAACTGGAGGAACTATGAGGATTCATACTCAAATTCGCAAGTTAGGGCTTACAATTGTAGATGAATGCAATGACCAGAAGTCAACTCTTCCCTTTTCTATAGATATGGTCCCATGTTATAAACAGAGATGTTAATGGATGAAATGATGGCTCCCTCTAAAATCAGGTATTGACATATGCTCAACAATCGAAAGAGATGGCTAATGTGGAACAAGACAGACTTGCCAAAAGGATTCAGGAATTCCGTACCCAAGCTGAATTGGACTCCTTACGTGCTTCAAGTGGTATCGAACCCCCTGATGTTGGCACGAATGCTGCTGGTGCAAATTCTTACAGAGACATTGAAACAATCACGACATCTACCAGAGGTGGAGAGGTAATCGAATTGCATTGTTCAGTATGTACATTTGTTCATGTGTTCTCATGATTTTGTGCAATGGATGTTGTCGACTAAATTGATATGTATGTGAGCATATGATTACAAGCTACCAATTCCATGTTAATGCTAATGATAGATTTCGACCCTTATCCTTATCCTAAGAGTTACTGAATAAAGGAGTGATATTTTGCCGGGCTTGTCGTGTAAGTTTGGAGGTTGAAGAACTACTCCAAATTTTTTAATGTGGTTTCTTATTGGAGATTTTGATTAAATCGAGTTTCTTCCCTTCACGTATAAGTTTATTGCACGCAGCAATTAAATCTAAAGATAAAGCAAGGCTGTTAATTGATGCTTAACTTTAGCATTCGAAATCTACTTTTTATAGTTGGAGCTTGCGACCATGTTGTTGGCAAATTCATTATTTTTGTAAAAATTCTCATTCCAACTACAAGAGACCAGTGCTGCATAATGAATTTGTTAATAGCTGCTAAAGTATCTCTCATCGCTTGTTTCTGGGTTTTTTGTGGCTTGAGAGCTGAAGCTTTGGGTTGGATATTCTAACAACAGCCAACATTCCACTCAGCCAAGTGGGATGTCATTTTATCGCAGTTTTATTTCTATATTGATATGCTGAATATGGGAATCAATTGGGCTGCTATGGGTTGTGCATGTTGCATTACTTGAAGTGGGGAAATGATAGAACAGGCTTTTGTTCATAAATTTTGTATAGAGGTGGCTTCCCCTCCGAATGTCATTTTGTATAGGGTTGGTACCCACGTAGTACCTTTTTCAATAGAATGTTGTTTATCCTTAAAATACAAAAAGGAAAGAGTTTTACGGAATTTTTTGTCTGAACCATCTCAAAAGGCATTTCTGATCCAAGCATTTGCCATCTCTATTTGAAAACATATACTGATGTAACATCTTGAATGTACTAATAAGCTTGTCCCTTAACTGTACTACAAGATAAGGGCTCAAAGCAAAACCTCTTCTTATTACTATACAAAAAGCTTATTGTCCCTTCATGTGTCCTTGCATTAGTACAGTTCTGATTCTAATTTACATTTCATCCATAGTGTGAATTATGCAACAGATTGCCACTCCAAGTTCCTCTAAGAGAACATTTCTGAAACACTATTATACACTTCTATCATTAGAATTAGCAGCTGTTTCAAAGCTTTAGGCATCTTTCAGACAGGTCTGAACGAAGGGACTGTTCTACCCAACTACAGAGAATTTTTATCTTGAGGATTATGTTCCTTATGATCTTTCATCACCATTTTAGCCAGTAAGAAGGAGCAGATCTAGTCTTACTAGGGTGAGGAAGAATACTGTCCGCATTCATATCTATTTTGAGTAGTCGCTCTCCATGGTCCCGTATGATGTTACTTATTGAACTATAGATGAGTATTTAGATTTTTCTTATCTACTTATCTTGTAGGTTTCTTGATCAATAACGCTTCAAATAATTATCAATGAAATGTTAGTTGATTGTAGATTATGATGCTTAGTACAATATAATTGTTACCATTGGAATCTTCTCTGTTGTCATCAGTGAACATTCTCTCAACTCTGAGAATATCACTTCCTGAAGAGATATTGACAGGGGAAGATCCACGTCACTCATTTGAGTTCTTTTTTTCCAGGTCCAGACTGTCAAGCAGGGATATTTGTTGAAAAGGTCGTCAAGTTTGAGAGGTGATTGGAAAAGGAGATTTTTTGTCCTTGACAACCTCGGGACTTTGTATTACTACAGAAATAAAAGTTCCAAATCAGGGGTACGTCTGTGTTATTGCGAGTTTGAAACATCAGTTTGGCATTATCCTCCAATCACATTTTTTACCAGGTTTTGGATTGATGCAAAATTTCTTCAGTTGAAAAAATAGATATAATTTTCAATGCTATAAAATTTCCCAGCCTGTTACTGCGAGTTCTATGATAAGGAGAAACTTCAGTGTAGCTTTCCATGTTTTACAATCAAAATTGGTAGAATAAGTCAATAGGTGTCAAAATTATACATTTCATCTTGGTAGAATCCTTCGAAATTGGAAAGAATCACATATTCAATTGTATAATCTATGGCTTTATTGCTGATTGGGTTGATTTACTACAACGCATACAAGCTCATGGGAGATGCATTGAAATTTAAAACCTATCATGGCCGACATTTTTCGTGTGTTCTGTTTCAGGGCACTCAATCACATCATTCCAGCTTGTCGGCTGAACAAAACAGCAGCGTTTTCAGCATATTTCTTTCAAAGCACAATAGAGGTTCATCTTTTGGAGAAGAAACTCTTGGTTACCGTATTCTTGATCTTCATACGTCCACAATAAAGATTGATGCAGAGAACACAGATCTACGACTTTGTTTCAGAATAATTTCTCCATCAAAAAGCTACACACTGCAGGTGGGGCAATGATCAGCCTTTACCCTATCAACTAGGCTAATTATTCATAACTTTGGTGCAAGCTTCAACCAGTAAATTAGCATGTCTTTTTGCATGACTCAACTCGTATGTTCTGTTCCGACAAAAAAAAATAAAAACTCGTATGTTCTGTTGGCGCGAACTGCATTACCAAAATTGGACTGTGATTATCAAAGTGTACCCCTGCACTTTACAAATGACCTTTTCTGATGGTATGAAACTGGATCTAATTCATTAATATGGGTGCTATCAGTTATTCTTGTATAGGACCATTATAAGGTTGGATTGATTGGTCAGCCATGTAATATCCAGAAGATTAAGGTTAGAGATTGTTATGTGTAATTGTTGTTTCAGCAGAATTATTTGTTGACCGAGTAACTAATGATTAGTCAAAGAAGAGTAAATCTTACCAAATTAGTGGATGAAATACTTCAAATGTTGAATAAGACTATCAAGACTAGATCAACACATAAAAGGTCAAAGAGTAAACTTTACTAGATTAGTGGATCAAATACTTCATATGTCGACTAGTAAGAGTTTACTGCATTTGGCTAACTGGTCAGTTATAAAATTAGCTGAGAGAGAGAGAGTCCCCTCGAAACGCTACCTTAGCATCCTTCTGATATGCATTGTGCCGGTATTCTGATAGCTTAAGCTTTTAGAACAAAAGTTTGCTCGCACAACCCTTGAGCAGAGGGTTCAATGCTCACAACGCTTGAGCAGAGAGTTCAATGCTCTTTTCTTTCTTCAAATTTCTTGGCTGGAACTGAATAAGCAAACATATTTCTGGTCAACGGTTGATTTGTCTGGAGAAGGGGAAATTCTCTAAATACATAATTTGCAGGATAGAAAACGAAATGAAAATATGTACTTGGTGGTATCGCTTGTAGTTATTAAATTGTAGGGATTTTAGTTTCCATAAGACAACATCTACCACATGTTCATATCTATTTAAGAATAAAGTTGTTATCCAGAATCCAACATCTAGACCTTTCAATAGTGGCACTTGGTAGACATTGAGCAAAGCTTGTAATGCTCTGAACTCTAAGTACTGTTTTCTTAGTTTTCCTGTATCTTTCATAATAGGTGTATTGTCCTAGTTGTTCCTGTACTTGCTCATTTATTCTTCAATAATTCATTTAGTTTTCCCTTACCAAAAGGAAGACATTTATGAATTTTCTACCATTATCTTACCTTTTTTTCAGGCTGAAAATGAAGCAGATAGGATGGACTGGGTAAACAAAATCAAGGGAGCAATTGCTTCTCTTTTCAATTCGCATTTTCTTCAACAGGTTTGTCCCTTTCAAAAGGTTTTCCACTCGTTTAATATAGAGCTGCTGCTAAACACAAGTTAAATTTGTTTCCTGCAGCCAAATCTTAGTGCAGAAACTACTAAGAACAATGCTTCTCGTGGTTTTAGATCAGCAGACGCAAATAATAGCTCTGGAGATATGATCAAGCTTGATGGACACGATTCTGTGGCTAAGATTCTAAGGAGTATACCTGGAAATGACCTTTGTGCAGAATGTGGTTCACCTGAACCAGATTGGGCCTCACTCAACCTTGGTATTTTATTATGCATCAAATGCTCTGGTGTCCACCGCAATCTTGGTGTTCATATTTCCAAGGTTCACTCCTTTTGAAACTCAATAGCTTGGGTTAATTATTTATCCACCTTTACGTGTAGTGCTCGTGGAGGTTTTCTGTTCTTAAAGACAAAAAACCATGCGATGATGATCATGATGTTTTCACTAACCATAGATGCTTGCTGTGGCAGCTTCATATCAAGTATAATCGTTTATTAGAGCTTAATTATCATAAGCTTGTCATGTTTTCATTGATGGTGCTCATCTTACTCCTTCAATGCTCAGATTAGAATACACGAGTGCCAACATGGTGCTGCATTCTTAAGTTCTTGGTCGATTCATTTTGAAGTGCTTCTTTGTTGATTAGATTTTTAGAGGAGCAAATGTTTTTGACTTAGTAGTTGAACCATGTGTACAAAAAACTCCAGCCACTTGATTGTTTTGTTTTACAAAGCTGCGGTTCTCTCTCTTGCAAAATGAGTATTTTTTATGTTCCTCCATGCGTTAGACTGTCAAGTAATTGTTCTTTTGAGATTCGGAAATAATTTGCTTGAGAATTACTGGGTGAGGTCGCTATTGGATATAAGTTAGATATGTTGCAGCGCGAAGTACAGTTTTAGTGATTAAAACATCTATGCAGGGACCATTTCAGCGTAGAATGCCTTGCAAGCATGCCTTATTCTATCTGTAAGCTGTCCTAAATAAATCATACGAAGAAGAGAAAGATCTATACATTTGCACGTGACTGAAAATATGTATTTTTGTTATACATAATGTATCCTTGTACATGATGTTTTGACTTTTAGTTTAGTGTGACTATTTTCTACCAGTTATTGGTAGCCTGCACCTGGGGTTGCTGGTAAAGTGAAATAATTTGAAGGATCTCATTTTGATGCATTGCAGGTTCGATCTCTAACATTAGATGTCAAAGTGTGGGAAACTACTGTTTTGGATCTGTTCCATGCATTGGGTAACAGTTACTGCAACTCTATATGGGAGGGACTACTACAAGATGAAACAGTAAAGTAAGATCTTTTTCTGATTAATCTAAAAGCTCACTGTTGGATGATCTCCTTGGGTTTTTGAGCGCTAGTCATGTGTCTGTGCGGTGCTGCTGGTGTAGATTGGTTGGATTTTGAAGTCACTTCTTTGTTCAGCAATAACTTAACTACCTAATGGCATTTATAGGATTTCAACTTGTTTCCTTGGAAAAGAAGGTACTGTTGATAGTCTAATTTGTGTGTTCAATTGCTGCTCAAACTTAGATTCAAAGTTGCCATGAACATATGCTTGATGGAAAATTTTCTTAGGAAAGCCCCGTATTAGACCGTAATCATGTAGTCGAATTATCCTAGAAGATGAAAGATTTTCCCTTCTTTAAATCAAGAAATAATGTGTATCCTCACTTTAAATCAAGAATTGCTCTTTTCTTTTCTTGCAGCTCTCACAATTCAACTTTTATTTACCATTGAACACTCGGAATCTTTCAAAATATATAAATATTAACATCTAGAGTCAGAGATAATTTGTTTCATAATTTCTCTAACTTAAAACATTTCTTTTTCTTTTTTAAATTTTGGAGGGAAAGCAAGTTTTGCTTATTTAAGCAGAACAAAACTTGGACGTTGCCAATAACTATGCAACAGGAAGCTTTATTATCATGAAAAAGAAAAACGTCTTTTTCTATCTCCAAAACACTTAACTTTATTGAGAAAATGCCCCAAGCAGAGTACCGGGCTGTACGGCGTTGAAATAACCCATGCCATATTCCCATGATCAGCTCGAGCAACCTTTTCTTTTTTTTGGTCAGAAGCTCGAGCAACCTTAAACAAAGGGTAAATGTATTTAAAACTTCATCAAAAACTTTTTTGTCTTTTTAGCATTTGGACCCAAAAAACAAATCTTTTTAGGATACTGGCCCTCGAGCCTCCTGTACAGAGAAGCTGTCATAAAAAATAGATGATCCGGTTATTGATAAGCTTAAAAAGTGTCCAATATCCTTGCATATGGACAATTTTGTCATGCTTCTTCCATTAGCTTGACTTGCCTGCTGCTTCCGTAGATACTTGATAAGTGATCCGCTAATCATGTGGTTTTGGTTTTCTTTATTGACTATAGTGATAAATTAATTGGTTTGTCTAGCGGTTCTTGATCTTTGTTATTTCTATATTTGAGTGTGAAAATCCTCTGCAGAGAAGCGCCGGATGGTGCTGTCCCCTCAATGAGTAAACCTTGCCCAAATGATGCGGTATCTTATAAGGAGAAGTACATCCACGCTAAGGTACTATTTACTTTATATTTCGATCAACCTATGCAGATAGTATAAGGATGGACTTACCATCGGTTTTAAAGTTAAGTTCTTGAAAGTTGCAATTAGCTTTTAAATTTAAGGTGATAGCATCTTTAATGCATTCTTTCTATTTATGTTGGATCTTATCCACATCGAATGCTGCATAAGACAATAATCGATATGTTCGTTAGTAGTTCAGATTTAGTTGTAAGGTGTCATTCATGTCTTTTACAGCCTCTTTCTCTGTTTTATGTGCAGGCCTTGATACTATTGTAGGGATTTGTACTTTTCATTTTAATTCAGATTTTAATCTTAATCAATGCATGTTTCTGATTAATTTAAAAGCTGTCAGATTGCACTAATAGCAGCTTCCCGTGATGTAAATTTCTCTGAGGGTAAACCAGGGTTTATTAGCTCTTAAGCTCTTCTTCTTCTTCTTCTTGTATATTTATTTATATATTTATTATTTATTTTTTTATTAAACAGATTGCCAAGACACGTGTATACATACAATTGTCCTCAGAGACTGTTTCAACACCTTTAGATAAAAAGAAAAGTCTGGAGGTTATATTTGTTTCATTGATGCGTCTTGATATCCATGTCATTTGTGGCTCACTTTTAGCTGGGATCAATTGTATGTATATATATGTGTGTATATTTGCATTGCCCAGAGCAATTGCCTGCTTGCATCTTCCTTCATTGTGTTGACTAAATACTGTACATAATCTGGAAATTGCAAAATGAATTCATTTTTGTTTCTTATTTTTAGTATGTAGAAAAGTTGCTCATTGTCAGAGACTCCGAATCATCTGGAAGTTTGCATGCCAAGAGTATCTGGCAAGCAGTCAAGACCAACAATTTGCGAGATGTATATCGGCTTGTGGTGACCTCAGATATGAATATCATTAATAGCATCTTTGATGAAGTTGATGGGGCTGAGGCCTTTGATTTAGATTCAGTTGACATAAATCGGAATGATCCAGCCAACTGCCTGCAAATGAAAGATCCCAGAGAACCTGCAAATTGTCTTCAAGGTTGTTCGTTATTGCATTTGGCTTGTCATCAAGGCAATCCAGTGATGCTTGAGTTGCTTCTGCAATTTGGTGCTGGTATAAATATGCAAGATTTCCATGGAAGGACTCCTTTGCACCACTGCATATCCATGGGAAACAACTCATTAGCGAAGTTTCTTCTCAAAAGGTAATTCAGTTTCATATCGATTTATGTGTACAAAATTTGTAGGCAGGCTGCACGACCTAGCTACAAAAGTCTTCTTGCTCTTCCTAGAAATTCTGATGCACGTCCAAATTTACAATGATCATACAAAGATGCCTTTGCTGAAAAGACAATGATAAAAGACAGAAAATCATTTTGCTTTTCACAACTTATCACAAAAGTTGCCTATAAATTTGGGGAAAATTCCAAATAAGGGCCTGAAGTGCCATAATTTTCTCAAATAAGGGCCTGAAGTAGACTTTGTGTCAAATAAGGGTCTGAAGTGGCCATGAGGGTCCCAAATAAGAGCTTGATCTTGCCGGTCGCTCGCCGATCGTCGGCCGGCGAAATATTCCGACCGGTCAAGGGTATTTTCGTCCAAAAACCATTTTAATTTTAAATATTTTTTTATTTTTATTTCTTTTTTTTCCCTTTCTTTTCCTTTTTCCTTCTTTTGGTTTTCTCTTTGTGCCGGCCACCGGCAAAGCCCAGGAAGGGCTGCGCGAGGGCGACCCTCGCCGGCAACAGGCGAGGGACGGCCTCATCGGGAACAGGCGAGGCCGTCCCGAGCCTGTTGCCGGTGAGGGTGGCCCTTGCCGGCCACCGGCGAAGCCCAAGAAGGGCTGCGCGAGGGCGACCCTCGCCCAGCCCTTCTCGGGCTTCGCTGGTGGCTGGCGGCGAAGAAGAAAACCAGAAAAAGAAAGAAAAAAGGAAAAGGACAAAAAGAAAAGAAAGGAAAAATTCAAAAAAAAGTAAAAAACTCAAAAAAGTAAAAGGACGAAAATGTCCTTATCATCCAATAAGTCAGACCCTTTTTTGAAACGGACATAGCCACTTCAGTCCCTTATTTGAAACAAAATGCACTTTGGACCCTTATTTGAGAAGATGAGGGCACTTCAGGCCCTTATTTGGAATTTTGCCTATAAATTTGGGTCAGAATTTGGCAGTCAGATTTGGAAAGTCATTTTGCTAGACAGAGGATTGTTTGCCATTCTCAAGGATCTTGAATTGTCTTGTTGAATCTCACTAGACCACCAAGTAGTAGTGGAGCTTCAATTTTAATATTGGCTGGAAATAGTTGATGGCCTTATTATTTGCGGCATCTTTTGAAGGAACTGAAGGCTAATTGAGAGAAACTGGGTTTACAGCCCATGATTTGTTGTTCTATTAAACTTTCCCAGTGTGTAAAACTTGCTTGGATTAACTAGTGTGTTCGTTATGCAGAGGAGCACGGCCATCTATCAAGGATGGGGAGGGACTCAGTGCGCTGGAAAGAGCAATGGAGATGGGAGCAATTACTGACGAGGACCTATTCATTTTGCTTGCCGAATGCGAGTGACACTACTTTCTTAGTTTGGCGCATCTTATCTTTAACCTCAGTTGTATCTGCTGGAATAGAGGAATGCACAATATTTATGGACTTTTTAGCCAAAACATAGGGGGCATCATCGATTCAGAGTGATGTGCAATAGGATGATATCAAGCGGAGCGACCTACGCCTTAACTTTATCGCTTGCAGTATTCTCACTGCGATTTGGAAACCGTCTGAGAATATCCAAATTCGCTTGAAATTCATGAAACGGAGGAAGTAGAGAAGCCCTTGATTGGCGGTCAACTATGAGGTCTTACTTAGGGAGACGGTTGAAACATCTGAACTTTCTGTAACATCATGGTGTCTTGATAGCGGGATTTTCTGTAGCAGCAACCTGTTTATCGACATTATTTACATGCTGTTTAGAAGCTTTGTCCGATACTGTAGGAGACTAAAGCTGTTGATATAGACATATATCAGTTCTGATGCCAGTGGAAAGAAGTATACCAGTACTTGGACTCGTAAGTGAATTCTTTATAACGTGAACGCTGTAGCTGTTTTTTGGTCAGAGTACACTTCTATTAAACCCTGCATCAGATTATACTTAGGAAGATGGCCTAATCCACATGGCCAACTGATGGCATTGTTTCGATTTGCTTTCCTGTTTATGCGATCAACACTTTCTGTTCTTACTACCGACAAAAAGGCGGTTGTTTCCCGAGCGAAAAGACAACCTCTCTTTCTCTCTCTCCCCCTCTCTCTCGGTTCAATTCCCATTACAATTTGGTATTTTGAAGGGGGAAGTAGCGAGTTCCGAGCTAATGCTCGGAGAAACCACTGCGTACTGTAGGCTTATCTTTGTCTTTGCTTGGGTTACATATTTAAGGCTTATCAAAGAAAACGAGCATGAACGACAACAATGTGTTGAAAGCTTCCAGGATGGCTCACCCCCATCAGTGTCAAGCTCGTTGAGGAATTTAAATACGAGAGGTAGTAGCTAGTTCTTAGTTTTCGCTATAACCCTTTACCTGGCCAAAAACAGGCAATTAGAAGTAGTGATGTTGAGAGGAACTCAAATTAAAGAAACAGCCTATGGATGTACGGATACATTGATTTTCCACATTTTTATAAGATAGAATCCACTTTCAACTTAGAAATAGTGGAGTTATGGATCCATCTAGACTGTCCATAAATAAAATTAACGCTATCTACCTAGTAAATCGTAATGGAAATTATTTTCTTTCTTGACAAGTAGCGAAAAAGTGTTACTTTACTTGAATAATTTTGAATGCCAATGTGCGTTTTCAAGACTATGGGTGCGTTAGGAGCAAGCTGCTCTGGGTTTTTATGTCATGGTCAGAAAAATATATTCTTTTTTTTTTCTTCACTTTTAATGCACGGACTATACGCTGCAGGAGGGCACGAGTGATATTACCACAAAGTTCAGGGACTAGAATTTCAAACTTTCTTATTCCCCCTCTAGTTCTCTCTTCTTCTTCACCAGCTTCAGAGAAGCCTGCGAGAGGGAAGTTGACAATTGGAAAAAAAAATGAGCGGCGAAGCAGCAGCAGCGAAAAGGTGGATCAATGGCGACGAGAGCGCGCAGCAGATGCTCGGTCGAGCCCTGACGTCGCGCCCGTCGTTCGCGCTCCCTCCTCCGCTCCACAGAGCCCCTCTCCGCGCCGGCAACGTCGTCGAGATCGCTGGCCCCTCTCCTTCCGCCAAGACCCAGATCCTCGTTCAGGTCCCTCATTCTTGCCCTGTTCTTTCCTTCTTTTCTGCCGAATTCTGGTGTGAAAAATTGCGCCTTTAAGCAGGAGACATCATCCGTCGCATCGAATTGCTCGCACCCGTTAGTAGAATGTGCTGATTGTCTTGTTTTTTTTTTTTTGAGCTGGTGCTGCTTGGTTTGTTGTTTAGTCCATTGTCGAGAGTTGAGTAGTGGGAAAGTGCGCCGGTTGATGGGTCGTATGGCGAGATGGCTGAAAGTCGGCTTTTTGCCTCTCTAGGCTGCAGTGAGCTGCATTCTCCCGAAAGAGCGGAACGGGGTGCACTACGGCGGGCTCGGGCATTCGGTGCTCTACATCGACCTGGACTGTCGGTTTGACGTCTCGAGGCTGGTGGAAATGCTCAGACACCGGATCGTGCAGGTTAATGGTGAGCCGAGACCTTTTCTTTCGAATGAGCAATTCTAGAAGGGTATGAACTCGTGATGTGGAACTAATTTAAGGCTATGGTGAAATTGGTCGAAGTTACGAGACTCCATGCATCGGTTTTTCTTGGGCAGGGTGCTCGTCTACTGCCGACAATGAGGAAATCCTTAAGCTGTCCATGAGACAATTCTCGTACATTCGCTGCTATGATAGTTTCGAGCTGCTTGCGACTCTAAAAGTAAGAGGTCTTGTCCTTGATATTTAGTTTCCAACCATTCTGCCCACAAGGTTGATGCTTAGCTGGTTAGTTCTCTTCAGAGAGCAATTTTCATGTTATGTACTGATCGGTGTTTTCGAGAAACTTTAATAATGTTAGAGTTTGCAGTAAAGTCAGTGAAATTTAAATAAAAAGGGAAAAACATGACTAAGAAGAAGAATGTGTGGAGCATTGGCTCAAAAGTCAAGTTTGTCTGGATATCTGCTACATAGTCATCTATGATCTTAAGAGTAAGCGAATATGTCTTGGCTTTGATCAGTCGGACCTTTTAACGCTCATACCTCACTATAAATGTACTTCCAACTTATTTTTGGCCAAAAAAAAGGAATATACTTGCCCACAGATACTTAAATACTTAAATTAGATCTGCAAAAGTTTTTGGATGTTTCAGAAGTACTGTCTGATCAACTTTCAAAGCATTTATTATGAATTAAACAAGCATCACTTGGTTTAAATTGACCATAGGTTACTGTCGACTGAGATCATGACATATTCATACATCATGTTTGTGTTCCTAAAATATTTACTCAGTGGTAACACACTAATGCCTTGGTCAAGCCTTTTAAATATAGTGTGCGTACTTTATGAAAAGTAGTATCGGCTCACAGGTGCTTATTGTTTCAGACTCTGCATCACTGGCTTGAAAAGGAAAAGAAATCCGATGGTATCGGTGGTCATTTTCTCATGATCGACAGGTTTGTCATGGAATCTGATAAAGTCAAGTCACATCATTGTACTTGGCTTTTTTGGCATAACTCTTTAGAGTTTGGTCCATTTCTAGTTTTCATGTGTGTTTAAAATTATTTGAGTCAATAGACTAGAATTATTTCCTATGTAAATGTTGCAACTTTTTCAGGTAAAGTAATTGGGTTTTTCGTTTGATAGTACAATGCATACTTGTAGAAGCTTCTAACGAGGAAAAAGAGTGTTAGTTTTATTATTAGATAATTAGCAAGTTGGGTTTATTTTAGGAAAGGGTATTTAGGTCTTTGTATCAAGGCTTAACCCTAAGCCTATATATACTTGGTTTATCTCAATAATAAAGAAGATCTCTTTTACCAAATTACATGGTATCAGAGCCACAGTAAAACCCTAATCCTAATCCTAAATTAAGCCCTAACCCTAGCCTAACCCACACGTCTCGCGTGTCTTAGCTCGCGCGCCTCAGCGCGACCTCGCGCGCTCCTCGGCGCGACCTCGCGCGCTCCTCGGCGCGACCTCGCGCCCCCCCGCGCGCGACTCAGCGCGCCTCCAGAGCGCGACTCAGCGCCTCTTCCAGTGATGTGATTCGCAGAGAGAGGCAAACAGATGTGAAGAAATTTTTGGTCATGTTCCCGTTGCTTCTCTCTTGATCCGTCTTGGTTATGGGATTTTTGCTCGTGTTTCTCTGCTGTCTTGCACTGTCTGATGTGAAGACATTGTTTTTAATTAAAGTGTAGTGGTGGTTGATGTGGTGAGCAGATCTGGTTGATGTGGTAGTGGAAGTTAGTGTGGTGAGTCAGTTTATGAGCTCTCCTCGTATTACTCACTGGCAAGCTGTCTTACATATTATACGATATTTGAAGGGAGCCCCAGGTCAAGGGCTTGTATTCCATAATCGGGGTCATCTTAATGTAGCTGGTTATTCTGAGCCAGACTCTTTGGAGGTGACAGGATACTCTGATGCAGATTGGGCTGGTTGTCCTGTAGATCGCCGGTCTATATCAGGGTACTGTGTATTCCTTGGAGGTAATCTTGTGTCGTGGAAGAGTAAGAAACAATCGGTTGTTTCTCGATCTAGTGCGTACGGGAATATCGTGCTATGGCTAACGTTACAAGTGAGCTTCAGTGGATTCGTATGTTGTTGACTCGAGATTGGATTACATATGGCGGGATCGTCTACTCTCCATTGTGACAATCAATCTGCCATTCATATTGCTAGTAATCCAGTGTTTCATGAGCGAACTAAGCATATAGAGATTGATTGTCACTTTGTTCGGGAAAAGGTGAATTGTGGTGATATACAGCTGGTACATACACGGTCTGAGGAGCAATTAGCAGACATTTTCACGAAACCTCTACGGCGTGGACGAGTTTCATATATTTGCAGCAAGTTAGGTCTTTTTGATATGTATGCCCCAACTTGAGGGGGAGTGTTAGTTTTATTATTAGATAATTAGCAAGTTGGGTTTATTTTAGGAAAGGGTATTTAGGTCTTTGTATCAAGGCTTAACCCTAAGCCTATATATACTTGGTTTATCTCAATAATAAAGAAGATCTCTTTTACCAAATTACAAAGAGAAAGGTGTACTGTGGTAAATTTAAAAAGACCGAGGTTGCTTATTATCATGGATCTCAGCAAAAATTGCCAATCGAATGGACTTGGGTCTGGTGGCAACTCAACTCCTTCAAAGTTATCCGCTGTTCTTCCCAAGCATAATGGAGTCAAAATCCAAATATGTATTCTTTTGCAACACCAGGTTCCAGCATCACCAATAGACTTTTACTGAGATCCATGGTAGCAAGCAAGGAGGATGCAGGCAATTCTTTGTTTTCTGTTACATTCACTGAAGACTGTGTTTTGTCTTACGGACTTTTTGGGAATTTTCACTCGAATACTGAATTTTAATAATGCAGACTGTTCCAAATTCTCACAAGGGCTCTGAGTTTTTATGTGGCGTTGTTTCTAGTTTAATTTCTGAATACATTTATGCCAGAAGATGGCTATAATTCTGTAGAGTTCCGGTTATGTAAAATTGATCTCCCCGTAATCTTGACCAGCAGATGAAGTGTATATTGCAGTATGAATTAATATAGTTCTTTGGTTTTTCTTAAATGAGGACAGGTAGGGAACATGTTGACTTACCACTCATCTGCAACTTTATTTGACAGTATTGGCGCATTTCATTGGGTAGATCGTGCTTCCACGTCATTGCCTCTTGGGGGAAAGAACAGGTAATGACTGTAGTCTTTTTGTTTGGATTCGACATGACATAAATCTGTCTCTCCCTGTATCTTTGCACCCATAGCACTCATAAAACCATTCATTGTTGCAGAATGTCTGTCCATAGTACCTCTGGAATCTTCTCTTGACTCTGTTCTGGCTGATTTTAGGCGTTTATAGGCTTCATGTGCCAATTTTTTCGTATTAGCTTTGTTTTATTAGTCTTTCTATGACTGTTTTTGAATATTCCTGATGTACTTGAACAGTTTTCCCTATTAATCAATCATTACTTTATAAAAACAACATGGAGACTATGCTGGACTCAGAAACCGAATTAGCTTCCTCATGTTATCATATTCTAATTTCACATTTTAATACCTAGGCAGTTTTGTGAACAGGGGAGTATCGTATTGTAAAGATGCGAAACTCAGTTGTTGGATTCTGTGGAATATTTATCCAAGTTCAGATATATTCAAAACCAAATATATGGATGTTTAACAAATACTAAGTAGGAATCATACAAAGGAAAATGGTACTACATGGTTATGAGAACAATAGCCTAGCAATCGATCATGAATACAGTGATTTTGGTCATTGTGGTGAGCAGATTAGTAGATCATCATCACTGGTCTATACATTATTTTGCTTGGTTTTCTTTTCAAATTAGACATTGCCGGGCTGTCTTACCTTATTATCAGCTCTACTTTAGTTTGAAGTTTTTCTCCTTGTGCATAGTTTTCTCTTATAGTTGTCTCCATTGAATCTGTGAGTTCCAAATTTATTATACATCATACATAATGATGTCATTGAATTTTCAATACTGCATTATATTTTGTTGCACAGCTATGTTGAAATTCTTTCCCTCTCTTCTTTGGGTTTACCTGATGTTGTTGAAATTTGTAATGTCTAGGAAATGCCTCTCTTTGCAGAATGTATTGGAGGTTGTAGTGGAAGATCTGAGAAAGCTGTTGTCGGTACATCCCATGCTTGTTATTGTTACGAAAGCAACCATTGTCGCACCAACTGGGAATGAGTTCAGGAGGTAAGAGTTTAGAGACATAACAACAATCTGTATATACATGTATGTGGAGAAAATCATATGCAAGAGAATGGATACTTTACGTCATCTATTTAATAGTTCACCACAGCTATACACCGTGCTTAACACTGGCTGCTTTTGAATTTTGAGAAGTTGCTGCAGTACTAAGTCAAAGTGTTAACTGGAAGAGTTTCAACTAAATGGCCTAAAACATGTACTCTAGCTTCCTGCATGTTCGATTCAATGCCCTCCTTAGCTCCTGACCTTCATATCCACTATGTCAATAATGTCTTCATCATTCTCAACCGCAGGCTTTCATGGGTTACGTTTTGGAATTTATTCTATGTGACGAATACTTTGCTTCATGTTATCAGTTACTGAAACTTACCTTGTAAAACCCCGGTTGGAAGTTTGACCGTTATTTCTCCACTGCTTATTCGATTCAATAATCAATTGAAACCTGAACTCATAAATCTTAATTTGTTTACGGGTTTAAATCGTTACTCTGCTTCTTGTCATTTGCTTTTTTTCAAAATAGTAACATATTCTTCGACTTTGGTATTATGATGCCTTTTCTTACAGGAATTACAAAAGATGGCCATCCTCAGGCACTCCTTATACAAGCAGTGAATTAGAAGGGCTTCAGAAACCTTATTTTCGTGAATATATGCCTTCAATCTGGCAGGTTGTTTCTGAATTGTCCTCCACTCTTTTGTGTGGAGGAATCTGCCTGAGTATACCATTATTTAGGTTTTCACTGATTGTTGAAATATTTATACATCATATATCTTGGTGAATGGGCTGTTTATAATACTGATTTGGCGTAATTTCTGAGCAAATAAGGTGAAAAAATGGAAAGCTGAACTTTACTTTAAAGGTCAAATACTTTACTCATCTTCTCTCAGGACGTATGCTCCAAAAACATCAATTCATCATAATTATAATGGATGTTTGACACTTACTTGAGTGCCACTTTTTCTGTTTTTTTTTTCCTTATTTTTCCCTATTGCTTATTTTTTCTATTTCTGTAACTTAGTTATTACTCAGTGAATTGTTGCTTCAAAGCACCAGTACAGAAAATGTTGTCAATGGCACTGAAGCACAGTCTCTCTCTCTTTGATCTTTCTTGTAGTCATCCTTTGATCGTACCAGTAACCCGTATCACTTGAGCTTTTAAAGGATTTGTTGCATAGAACTGAAATGTTGCCTTTCTTTTCCTTGGTGCCAGTCCTTCGTTACGCATAGGATACTCGTGCAAGGTTCAGGTTTGTAAAATTTTCTTCTGCTGAAAGTTGTTGCCTGATGTCACTGACTTAAACACACTAGTATTTTATGGTACGAATGAATGACATACAGCTCTTTGTCCTGCAGATGATCATATTGCCATGCCAAAATCTCAAGAAAATGACGCAGCTTATGTGTCAGAATGGTTGCTTCCACGTCTAAATTTCTTGGACAAATTTGTGGTGCGAGATGTAAGAATATCCAAAAGCTTCTCATTGAATTCGAAATGGAATCAATTTTTCAGTTTGTGCCCCTGGACATTTCTGATAAACTCTACGACTTGCAGGCTGGTGTTTTCCTTGTTTCATGAAGTGTAACATCTGGACCTGTTTTACTTGTTGACATCCGCACACAAGCAAGGTCAAGATTGTTCTACTAAATAGTCTATTGCTGTGTTGTCCTTTAGTTTCATTCTATTTGGTTCTTGTAAATATCCACCTTGGCACCCCGGATAAGCTTCTTGTCAACGGCATTGGGGTTTTTGCACATGTTGATGCGAGTATATGTCGATCTTCTTGCATGTCGTGGGTCTTCTTTCTCTTTGAGGGTTCAAGTTGAAGCTCATCTCACGGCTGCTCTTGTCTATAGTCAACAGTTATGGAGCATCTTCCTTCAATATGGTATTGATTGTTCAGCACGATGGAATAAGTATCGTGAGAAATCTGATCTGAATGCATTTGTTGAAGTTGGATGATGTGCTTGGATTGTCTTTCCTAGTTTACCGAAGGTTTTGAGTGGCGCTGAAAGCGCTGTCTAGTCAATACTAGCAGGGACTAGACGATTACATGCATGATGGCTGCTGCTATGCTAATGATCCGGTAGCGACTAGTCCTTTGTAGTTGACATACCGAGTGTAACGACCTCGGCCCCACCACGCTTCCGCTGCGCCACTCCTTGTGTAATATTGTCCGCTTTGGATACTAAGGCTCCGTTCGTTTGGCGGAAAATATTCTCCCGGAAAATATTCTCCGGGTTTTCCGGTGTTCGGGGGGCGGAAAACGTTTTCCGTGGGAAAATATTTTCCTTCCCCCCTCACAAAATAGCCTAAGTCTACGGAAAATGACTTCCGCTTCTTCAAAAGCGGAAATCATTTTCCGGAGCTTCTTCTTCTTCTTCTTCACTAAGGTCGCCGGCCGTCGCCGCCGCCGGTCGCCGCGGCCGCCGCCGGTCGCCTACCGCCGCCGTGAAACTTTTTCATATTGGTCGCCGAACACCGGAAAATTATGTTCCGGAAAAACATTTTCCAGGAAAATGACTTCCGGGAAAATATTTTCCAAAAGGAGAATATTTTCCGCCAAACGAATGGAGCCTAAGTCCTCACGGTTTTAAAACGCGTTACACAAGGGTTAGGGGCCAAGTCTTATAAACTCACCAAGATCTCACTCCCTAAGCAATGTGGGACAAGAGCAATGTAATCCCTTGCCATCCTATAAGCCTGCCGGAAGCCTCTCCTTGTCCAGGTCATCGGACCCCGGCGATCACTCCCCGCCCTCGTCGGACCGGGTCGTTACACCGAGCTTTGTATCTTCGAGTTGGTTACCTCGTGTCATTTGATACGTAGGTAAGGAAAAAGGAGAGAACCCGTCGTCTTTGTTTACAAAGCATGTTGCTAAACTTCCTTTTATTCGATCGAGTACCTCAACTTTTCTAATAGGGCTCAATGTGGGCCTTCCGTAGAAGAAGGGCCGTGCCACGTGATTTTTGGTTGATGTAAGCTCGCTTAGCAAAAATTATGCAGATGCGCCAACTGGGATTTGCCAACACAAATTTAAATGAATTAAAACAACGTGCCTTCTTTTTGTTCCCTCTTCGTCTTCTTGCTTGCCCAGCCACGCTTGAACAGAAAGAACGAGCAGATGCTTGACTGAATAACGAGCAAAATTTGAGATATTTAGGATGTTATTATCTAGTGTGTCTATCGGATGAGCTTGCTAGGAAAAAAGGAGTCAAAAGAGTTATTACATAGTAAAAGCTTACTAATTTAACTTACATAGTTAAAGCATACTAATTGGCGTCACGCCAAGTATCATAGGCAAATGACACAACCCGTACGGCCTTGATGTGTCAGAAGACCGGGACAACCTTCCTTCAATGGGTTGTGATCCATCATACCACGTTCAATTTAGCCCGGCAATTCAGTTTTCTCAAGTGAACACACATTACGTGTATGCAGTGATCCTCCATCATGATGATCATCTTGTTCTGAGCATGAAAATTCCAGCGACGCTCCTGTAGCCCCGACTGTATCAACCGCTTTGTATCGTTCGATTGCCACTAGGGGTGATCGGTTCCCAGTCCGGTCCGGTCCCAAGGTGGAACCGGGAACTGGACTGAGAGAACCGGTTCTCAATTTTGGAAATCGCGGACCGGACTGATTGGTTCTAGGATCGGGAACCGGACTGGACTGCCGGTCCAATGGAACCGGTCACTTAGAGTTTAGTATTTTTTTTTGGTTAAATACTTAAGGTTTGATTCACATTTTACTAATTTTTGTTAATGAATTTATGTCAATGAAGTTCACTTAGGGCTTAATTCACATTTTACTAATTTTTATCAATGCATTTATGATAATGAAGTTCATTTAGAGTTTAGTTCACATTTTATTAATTTTTTTTAAAAAAAATAACAAAAATATATATTAAATAGTCGGTCCGGTTCTCCCTTGGAACCGGGAACCGGACCGCCCGGAAACCGGTTCCGCTTTTAGGAATCGGGAACCGGACCGATAGTCCCGAGAACCGGACCAAACCCGTCGGTCCGGTCCGATCCGGTCCCGGTTTGAGCGGTCCAAGTTGCTCACCCCTAATTGCCTCGCCGAGCATGTCCCGATGATCGGGATGAATCTTAGCGACGGTTCGTTGGATTCGGACCGTGCCGTTCCAATTTCGCCCTTTATAGATTTTATGGTGCTCGTATATATGGGCATCGCGAAAAAGCGCGCGCGCACTCACTCTCGCTCCTCCGTCTTCCTCGAAGTGGTTTCGCCGGGAAAGCGGGGGGCCCGAATGGAAATGGCGCCGTCGAAGACCATCCTCGATCTCTTCCAGCGGCCGTCGAAGCGTCTCAGGGTCTCCTCCTCCTCCTCCTCCTCTTCCCAGCTCGTTGCCAAGTCCCTCTCCACCGTCCCCGGCGGCGGCGGCGGCGGAACCCCCTCCTCCTCCGCCGATGATCTCACGCCTGCTCAGAAATCCCGCATCGAGCTCAACAAGCTCCTCGCCAGGTCGCGCCGCAACCTCAAAATCTGCTCCGACAAAATCTCCCGCTCCAAAGGTGTGGAACTCTCTCTCTCTCGCGCTCTCTCTCTCTCTCTCTCTCTCTCTCCAGATTATAAAGTTTTTTTCCATGAACAATTATTTTCGCCGGGTTGCTTTTGGTCTAGGCTTGTCTCGCACTGCATCGCTTGCAGTGTCTGTATCTAGCGCGTAACCTGTTTCGGAGGTTTGTTTTTTTATGGCGATTTTGTTAATTGCTGTCGAAAAAAAGTAGTCATTTTTCAGGGAATGTGCTTGAAAATGTTCGACTTGACCTACTCTTCTCTTTGTTTGGAAGCACCCGTTCAGTCCGCTAGATGGTCACATTTGATGCTTAAACATGCGAGTGTAACGTTAGGTTGGACTTTTTGGAAGATGAAGCTGTTGGGTTTTCGAGCAAATGTCCTCTCTTTTTTTTTTTTGTGTACTTCGATTCTTTTGAAAATTTGTGGGGAAAAATTTTTGCAGCTGAAGGCGTGGGTCATGTGAACCTGGAGGAGCTGTTGGTGGAGGAGACCTGGCTCGAGGCCCTTCCAAGCGAGCTTCAGAAGCCGTATGCGAAGAACCTGTGCAAGTTTCTCCAGGCTGAGACGTCTTGCGCTGCTGGCAACGTCAAGGGGCCTGTTATATACCCGCCTCGGCATTTGATCTTTAATGCTCTGAACTCGACCCCATTTGACAGAGTGAAGGCCGTGATTCTCGGGCAGGACCCTTACCATGGACCTGGTCAGGCCATGGGACTTTCCTTCTCTGTCCCTGAGGGCATTAAGATCCCCTCGAGTCTTGCCAACATTTTTAAGGAGCTAAAACAAGATCTCGGCTGCTCCATTCCTTCTCACGGCAATCTCGAGAGATGGTCTGCTCAGGTACTGATACTAGTGTAAACAATATGATTTGGGACGTATACCTATTCTGGTTTTGAAATAAGCATCTCAAATGTGAATAGTTTCTGATCAAATGACTATAAACATAGACCTAATTCCCTGCTTTTTCTTAATTATGTACTAGTGATGCTGGATTACTTTTCCAGTTTTATATAATTGTTGTCTCTACTTTCTGCCATAATTTTGTCGAGTCCAATTTGTTTTGAGTTTCCTTAAATTCCTTGACAACAAGAAGTTCATGGAGCTTAACTTTGTCCTCCTAGTCCTGTCTTCTTATGTCTCAAAAACTCAAATTTATGAGCCTATAGCATATATCCGGTTCAAGCAATGTTGCAACTTTCCTAGTCCCTTCTTCAAATATCTTAAATCACTTGCTTGGACTAGCTTATGATGGGATTCAATGAGGTGACTGGCTTGTATCTTTGGGAATTTAACAGTTTTGTAGCTTTGTATCTTTATTAGTTAGGCCTCAGATTAAATATGTATGTGAGTGGTTCTTTCTGCAGTGAAGATATCTTCTAGATTTTGTTGTTACGACTATGAATCACTAGTTCTTAAAGAAATAATTGGCTTGGCTTGTCATCATCTTTGGGCTTCTTGCTCTAACGTTCCAAGCTATAGCTTTCCTTTGAGTTTTCTGTTTCTTGTATTCCGTTCTTGTTATTTCTGATGTACTGGACAGTGTGTCTTTTTAATAAAATTATATTTTACTCATCAAAAAATGGTCTGTAAACAATTAATTGGATGAAATGGGGGAAAGGTGGATGGAAAAGCTAATTGCACCCAATGAGTCCCTTTAATGAAGTGAATTTAAAGGCACTTTCTCTGTCATGTATCTTCTAAGTATATTCGCCTAACTCTGATTCTTATATTTTTTTTTGCGTAGGGTGTTTTATTGCTCAATGCTGTTCTCACTGGTAAGTTTATCATTCAAGCTGAACCTCCGATGAATTTGCTTGTCATGAGGATAATTACATTATCGATCAAGTAGAAAACTTCTGTCCATGAAGTTATTCATTAGCAAAGAAAAAAGTCCATATAGTTGCTATTTAGATATGGATATTCCTATCTATTTACGGTGCAACTCTTTCTACGCCTCAATATTGGAATTTCAGCTTGAAATTCTTGGAATTTAAACTATTTGAGAGAGAAAATGTTCTAAGAAGGTAAAATGACTAGAGAAGGCATAATATTTTATAGCACTAAACAACAGTGTTATAAACTATTCTTACTTTCGTAATAAAACCATACATATCTATTCTTATTTTGTACACAACCCAAAACTATTGTATTTAACACCAAAACGCGTTTAAATTTAAATAGTAAAGGATGATTTATTATTTGTTAGATATTTTGCAATGAGATCAATTTTCACCTATATCATGCTTTCTTATGATGCTTACTTTCCATATAACTGTGCTATCCTGGAAGACAAAAATCAGATTTTCCTACATTATCAGTTCTCTCCAGAGAGGTTTTACCCAAATCTATCATATAGTTATCATTTTTTGACTGGCATGAGTATGTCAAGTAAGTAACGTGACGAGTTGTGCTCCGAGAATACATATAAACTTTCTCATATCCAACCCAATAATATCTATGTCAAGCTAACAAAGAAATCATATCTTTTCTTTTGTTTATATTTTTATGGTTGGGAAATACTTTATATTGATGACTTTGAGAAGGTTTTTGCTGATGGTTGTGATAGCTGTCAACACTTAAAGAAGCGCATGGTATGGATTTCACCCCAAAAAAAAAAAAATTCTAAATGGTGTATTCATTACTTGAGTCACATGATCTGCATGCTTTCTTGCAGTCAGAAGTCATCAAGCTAACTCGCATGCAAAGAAAGGATGGGAGCAATTTACTGATGCTGTCATCAAAACAATCTCTCATGAGAAGAAAGGAGTAGTTTTTCTGCTGTGGGGAAATTCTGCTCAAGAGAAAAGAAGGTGCTTTTGCAATTTTTATCTTGATAGCTCTGTTATTATAAAAGGCTTGCCCAAGAAAAATAACGCTGCTTTTTCTAGAGAAAACACCTTCACACTGAGTTTTCTATAATAAGAACAAGAAAAGTTTCTTCATTATTTTTGGAATACTTAACATATGGTAAGTCAATGAATTCTCACATATGGACAGAAAGCGAACTTGTTATATCTATACTTAACACATGGTAAGTCAATGAAATCTCACATACGGGCAGAAAGCAAACTTGTTATATCAAGAGGTTTGACAGAGGGTGAATCTTTATTATATGAATGTAGTGTTCCTCGGTCTCAAAAATGGTTGCTTTGAAACATTGACATTTACTAGGTCAAAGAAATCTTATATTTCTACAAGACCAACCTCGACGTGATATGAGTTGTCATGAAGAGGGGCATTACCTAATAGCTTTCTTTTGAACTTCAAAATTAACCAATTGAAATATGTAAGTCCAATTTATTATCCTAAGTCTAACGATGGTCTGTATTTTTTGGAAAAAGTTGACATTTTGAAGAAAACCTACCTTGATATGTCATGAGATGTGATGAAGAGGGGAAATTCCTAATAGCTTCATTGGGAGCAACAAAATAAAATCTAAATTAGTTATGTCCAATGTTGCTCTAATGTGGCTCCTATGTGTCAGGGTTACCAAATTGGTCATAGCATGTAATGTTTGCGCTTAGAAATGTTTGTCTCAATTTGGTACATAAGTAATTCATTAATTCTGATGACATTTTAGTTCTTGTTAAATTTCTTGTTAAATTTGGTTAGATATGTTCATGGCATTCACATACTCAAGTTTTTATCTGGATCGTGTCTTGTTCCTTGTCATGTTAAGTGATTGTATTTGGAGAGGCTTCTCGTGTGATCCAACACACGATCATGAGCTCCACCCCTCTTCTTCATGTAGTAGATGGTTTTTCAGAAATAATGATGTATTAAACTTTGCAATGACCTTAGCGTTAGGCATTAGCATTATGGTAAAGTGAATTTCAATAAGAATGCAATTGAAAATAGGAGCAAATTTATTGAGTATAGGAAGACATCGTTTTTTCTTTTTGCTTATGACAGTTGCAACACAGGTTGATTGATGAGACAAAGCATCACATACTGAAAGCAGCACATCCTTCTGGTTTGTCTGCAAACAGAGGCTTTTTTGGTTGCAGGTAATTTTTGCTTTTCCCTGTAGTTATAGATCTTAAGTTTTACCTAGAGACGTTTCATGGGACATGATGGGCTGTGCATAATTATTAGTTATTGGTCCAAACACTTTAAATTCAACACATATTGCTAAATGTGCAAGTTCCCTGAGATGATATGCTATTGATATTTGAAAAGGAGATCAGCATGTTTCCATATCGAACCTTGTTATGAAACGAGTCATGTTAACATGCATTGCGCAATGAGCATGTAGCGTGTGCCAGCGATGGCTTTATAGGGTAATAGAAAACCATCTCACTTCTAGTCAGGTTTGACATCCAGTGACTTTCACAGAAGAGTTGTTCACTTCTAGAACTAAATTTGTGCCGCTAATTGTCTATGGAACCATGCATATTATGAGTCAACCTTGCTGGGGCTGATTTCATGAATGTAGGTGTCACGGATTTGTGCAAATTTCATGAATCTTCATGTTGTTAGACTATGTTTAGCACTGAGGTAAATGATGTCTGCCTGTGTGCACACGAAGACCAGACCTGTACTCTAAATGATAACAGTAAAAGTGCAATCTCTTTTGAATAACTTGAAGCTGTTGAAGTGGCTTCGGTGTGACGCAGCATTTCTTCATGTCCCATTCTTCCTATTGCAAGCAGTCAGATGTTACTTGAGATAATAATCAGATCTTACAAATCAAACAGGCATTTTTCTCGCACAAACCAGATTCTGGAGAACATGGGACTTGATCCCATAGATTGGCAATTATGAAAGGGAGATGGGCTTGGAATGGTGTCCTTTTTTGCGGGTGATTGTTATTTTCTGGTGTTAGATTCACATGCCATATGGAGATGGGCACTTTTTTAAGACAGCCGCTGGCTTACCCTCTTAGTTAATTTATATTCTGGGAATATTTGTATGTATGTAGAAACTAGAAAGACAGTGAAGGGATGAGTCTATTAGTACTGCCAGAAGAGCTCATTTTGCTGGTGTTCAACATCATGTGAAAATTTGAAGGCCTAAAAAAAGCGATTTGCCGCAGGAAGCCCATCTCGTTTTCTGAAGGTTTCTTCTTCAAAATTTGTTGATAACAGAAGCTTGAGAAGCCATGTCTATGCCCAATGCAGAAGTTAGATGCATGACAATTTCCGGTGCATGAAAACAGAGTACGTTACGGCCACACCAAAATTAAGGAGATAATATCGAGCAATCATAGAACGTTTGAGAGGGTGAGATGACTAGATTCAGGAACGGTAATAGAACATGGCAGGATCAAGTATGTTTCATATAGGGCAGTCCCACTAAGCTTATAGAATCATGGACCAGTGGCCAAGTCGGACATTCAAATGCGTGCAGGTTATTGTTAATCAGTAGAATCAACAGAGGATCATAACATCAACCAGTTGAGCTGTCAAAAGAGTGGCATTGTTCTCTGTGACTTCTGTTTTCTGACTTCGATTGTCATCTGGATATGGTGAAAATCTTTAACACAACTTTTCAGGCTCAATGTCAGGCTAATGCCATCTAACCAAGCTTTGGATGCACACTTGGATGCACAATCTCAGTAGCGAGAGGAATGTTAAAGGGGCCAAAATTAAACCGTTATCAGATAGAACAGAAACTTTCCTGAGCAATTGGGCAACATTCTATGAGTTCAATGTCATTATTATGGATACATGCAAGCCAACTAAATTCTGAGTTCTGCATTCGGCTCTAATATACACAAACAAATCTCGTAGTCACAAACTACATCAACGCATTTGCTGACGGTGTCATCGCTTCACAAGTTGAAAATCTCCATGGGCATACCCACCGTATTGAAATTCTTCGTTAGATATAAGCAAATTGACTCGACTTTTGCCGCACAAATTCTTTCAGAACCAGATCTTTCTCGAACGAACTTTTGAATTCAATCCTCCTACCGTGACCTGCAAGTAGAAGTCAAACTGAAAATCAAAGTGGAACAGAGACTTCTAGATTTCTAATCACCTGTCATTATTACCACTTACTTTCTAAATTCAATCTCATAGCTGGTCAACCTGGTTTCTTTCCTAGTGCTTAGACAAGGAAAGTATATACTATCAATCCCTGTACTTTAGGCGAGTTTTCGTTTTGGTCCATGTACTTTACAGTGGCGCATGCATGTGTGTGGGTGTGTCTGTGCGCGCGCGCGTGTGGCATATCTATATTATTGTTCTTTTTGTCTAACGCATATGGATTCTCAACCAATCATTTAGCTGCCAGTAGGAGCACCAATACCATAGCTTGATTATAGCAATTTCTAACACCATAAAGGGAATAGTGAGAAAATGTACCAACCTGGTACTATCCACCTGAAGTCCAAGTCAACCAACTTCTCAACACTATTTAGTTGTGCGCTAACTGCAAAAATAACATGCGAATTAGCAAGAAAAGGTAAACAGCAAACACCGGTAGACACAAATAGAAATTTGATTATAAGCTGCCTCTCTTTCCAGGAAGCCATCTTTTGAGTTGAGCATCTGTTATCAGGCAGTTAGAGAAAACATTTGTTACAAAATTGTTATAGAACGCCACCACTCATGTAGCTGCCGTTTCTCTTGGTTGGTGGGGAAGTTGCTGCTACTTCGGTAACAAGCTAGCACCCCCCACACGTCCGTCCAAGAGTCTCCAAGAAATCGGAATCTCCCCCATTTTATCTAACCCCCTCATCTCTCACGGATATACAGAGAACACGAAGTCACCGTAGATAGAGATAATCATAGGTTAAGGTGCAAATTCTATTCTCCTATGAAGTACAAAGACACAGTTACTGGACCAAGTTTCACCGAGAAATGGTACAATGTGGTCGCACAATAAACAGAAGGCAACAACTTTAAGTGGATTGCAAGGTACTTCTAAATCTCCAAAGATGTGAAACAGCAAGATACATAGTAATTAAATCCCCCTATATTAGCAATGCATGCACACCGACATCTCTACGAGTAAATTACATAGGTATCAATAATCAGTGAGCCAAAGAGCCACCGAGAACCAGAAGTACGAAAGAAGGTAATTAAGACTGCAGGCCTGGACAGGGACCGCACTTCAACCAGTGCTTACCTGAACAATGGTTGTACTGTTCCATTATGCTTAATCCAGTTGGTGTCAGTAGTAAATGATCTCCTGTGAATATTACTTCCAGCGGTTTGTACAGCAAGCAAACTGTTCCCTGCAAAAATGTTGACCCTCCATCATAATCTTAGAACTTCAACGTGGATCAATCTTTCATACACTTTGGGTCCTAAAAGTTCTTGATGGAACAAAAATGTCCAAAGTTCCATACCCTAGAACATATATATACGTGCAAACGAAGAAAACGAGCATCAGACCAAGCAACCTACTTCCGTGTGTCCTGGGGTGTGAATAAGCTCTATGTCCTGCCCAAGATTCCAGGGCCCCCTTCCTTCCAATTTTATCTCTATCTCAGCAGTTGAATCTTCAAGCTGTTAAGATCAGGATGATAATCTTGAATAAACAAGACCATATTATCTATATCGCTTTAATTAATACTCGTTTCACCACACTTGCCATTAATCTCATCATTCCACATGCTCCAGCTAAGGTGCTTAGGTATCATTAACAATAAGAATAACATGATGCCATGAAGCATCCCATTGCCTTAAAGATACTAGTTAAATCCAATTCTCAATCAAAACTCTTGCAAAATTAAATCTGGCAAGTAGGTTTCAAAACTAAAAAGCTTTTCGGCCTTTTATGAGGAGTGTAGTAATATTTATGACTCATTCCAACAAATATTTATTTGACTCTTCCATATATCCAGCCAAGGTACATTCGATATGTCGTCTTATTCCCACATTTGTCCATCATGGAGCAAGGTTCTTTTCTCAACTACTTAACAATTGATGTTCAACATCTCATACATAACCTCATAAAGAAACAAACTATAGGAACCAAGAGAACAAGAATATGTTTACACTAAGGGGAATTAGGCAGAAGAAAGGTTATAATTACATCCTCAGAGTGCAAAATCCTGTCACAACCTAACCGCTCCCTCCACTTCTTGTGATCTGCGACATCATCCCTAGTAACCAAAAACAGAATAAACTCAGGTTTAGGTCCTGAACAACAGAGATGACGTCATGTATATTTCCAGGAGCAGTCATCATACTTGTGGGTTAGAAACATTGAGTGTGCACCGCCAAGCATCTCAATCTTACGTGCAAGTCTCTCGGTATACCTGGGGCTACAGCGACAGGACAAGAGAGTAACAAAAGTTCACTAAACACGAGACAATCAGAATGAAGTGAAAAGGGGGAGGCTACATAGTGCATTGACAGCTTGACCAATATCTTCTCATTAAACTCTTCTAGAGTAGTATGACCAAAATTACCATTTCAGTGACCCTTCTCAAGCATACAATACCTATCTATAAGAACGTTTCCTTCAGCACGGACAATCAAGTATGAAGAAGCTCCATAAGATTTCTCTGAATGATACCCGCAGTGATACACTCCCTGAAAGTATTTCAATGAACAACACATTACCAAACTTTGGACGGAGGTTGCAGCTAAGACCAAGGCATATCCTAGAGAACATCCGTGCATAGCCCTAAAAAGTTCTACAAAGGATTGCATATCCTTCTCAGCTTATGAAGACTAAAAGTTCTCCATTATAGAACAGAAATTAAAGACTACAAGTGCCTTACTATGCTATGTTATAAACTGGACAAGTGAACACGCTTTAACACATAGCTCAGAATGCATCGGGTTTCTTTCAATTGAGGTTGGACATGACCTTTGTAATTTGTAACTTTCAAAACAACCTTAGTTCATGCTTCAACTAGAAATTGCATAAGCCCAGAAAGAAGCAACTAGGAGGACCATGGATACAACAGTGATTATGCAGAAAGAAACGGTATTTTCCTTGCATCCGGAAGAAGATAACGGGAGTTCAGGTCTACACAAACAAGTGCTCAGCAGTAGATGAACTTCACTGAATCTCTTACCATTAGTAGGACACAAATAGCTTTTCACCGCAGATAATATCAATTGTTAGAGATTCAATTATTAAATCACACCTTCATCTATCTGCTCAAGTATTTAGAGTAGTTGGCAATAATCCCTCAAAATTATATATGGTTTCACAGCATGAGGCCTTGAATTTAAATATATTTAGACCCCCTAATTTACCTCCCCTGTTGGTTACTTCTACGCTTCGGTCTTAGGCCAAAGTTCAGCCTACACGTGAAGGGGAGCATAAACCACACCTCCATTCATCAGTTTAAGTTTTTAGAGCAATTGGCAAATTTGACAAATGTAATTTAGCTACTAGGCTCGTTTGAAACAGAAATACTAAGTACAAGAGTCTCTTTTTTTGTCTGTCCTCATCTTTCGAGTTTCGACAAGGAGAATCACAGCTACGAGGACAATAATGCAAAACAAGGAGCTATCAATCCATCAAAAAATTTTGGTGAGCATGTGACACCAATCATCAAGGTAAATGAGATAAGAGTACCGGCAGCGTTTGCTCATCAATAGGGATCGGAAAAGTTTCATGGGCTACTAAGACATCGGGAGCTGGCTTTTCTGTGTGAATTGAACTTGTTGGACATGAAATTAAGGCCTACACATGGATCACACAATCCAAAAGTCATATCAGATTACCAAGAATTAGTCTAAAATGAAAAACATTCAGCATAGGCAAAGTCATGTATGGTTTATGATACACTGAGAAAAGGAACTCAACCATCTATTAGAAAGGAAAACTGTCTCAGAACACACGGAATAGTTTCAATGCTCGAAACAAATACAGAGCAACAAAAGGGAATGGTCGACACCCATGAAACCCATCTTTCATAAAGCAAAAGGAATGGCTTTGAAACATTCCCCGAGTTCACTAACTCACTTTTACCAATACAGATTGATATTTCGTTTCTCAGTTCCAAACCTCAACTTATTGCTTGCAGGACTAAATATATCAAGATTATCAACGAGGTGTCCACATTCAAGTCTCCTATTTCTTAAGTTACGTATTTCCCCTTTCATCAACGACAGTGTATACTAATATTCAGAAACACCCCCTTCCGATTGGCACTCATGCACTGATCTACATGGAGTGAATGCTCCCGCTTAGTCATGGCCACGAGCCGGTTTCGGCCCGGAACCGGCCTGGTCAAATCCGGGCCCGGCCCGTTGACCAGGCCCGCGGTTCGGAACCGGCCTGGAACCGGCGGTTCCGGGCCCGGTTCCAAAAAAATTTAAATAAATAAATTAAAAAAAAAAACCTACAGCAGGGCCTGCAGACGGCCCGTTGCCAGGGCAGCCAAGGCTGCCTTGGCAACGGGCAAAAATAAAAAATAAAATAAAAAGATAACCGTTGCAAATTACAACGGTTATCTAGCCTTTTTTTTTTTATCCTAAATTTTCTTCTCATTTTTTTCTTATAAATTCTCTCAATACTCTCAATTCTCTCAAATTCTCTCAAATTTCTCAATCCGCGCAATTTTCTCTTAATTCTCCCAATCAATCCGCTCAATTCTCTCAATCCACTCGAAAAATGGCAAGTGGAAGTCGAGTGCCACTGGCAAAGGTAAGAATATCATGACGGAATCCCATCATTCTTTGATCCTCGTGATTATGCAGATTTTCAAGATGATGAAATCAACATTTTTCCCAATGTGGAGCGCGTCCCGACGCAAGAAAGTCTTCATCCTCCTGCCGAAATATCTACAACAAAGAAGGCGGAGTGGGAACTTACATTTGACATTTGGGATCACTTCACGAAAATGGAAAGGTTTGATATTGGTCAAAAAAGGTATGATATAATTTGTAAACATTGTGGAAAAATATATAAATATACAGGTGGACAAGAATATGGAACATTTAAACATCTTAGGAGCAAACATCCAGCCCAAGCGGGAATCGATATCAAGCAACAACAAATTTCCGGGTACGTCAATCCTAACACTTCCCCTTTATTTTGTTTTAATGAAAAAACTTATAAGGAAGAATTAGATAAATTTGTTTCCGTTGAGCATTTATCATTTAATTTTGGAGAAAGATTTGGTTTTAATCAATTTGTTCAAAAAGCACGTGCTCCACAAGCAAAACATGTTCCTAGAAATTCACTTAAACGAGTAATTAAAGATCTTTACAAAAATGGAAAAAAAGATTTACAAAACGTTTTTATGCAATTTAATGGATGCGTGCATATAGGTAGGTAGTGATATTTGGAGTGATCATTGGCAAATTCATTCTTACACGGGCATAATATGTCATTGGATAGATGACGATTGGAGTATTCAAAAAAGAGTTATTGCATTTAGAGTTTTCGATGGTAAGCATACGGCAAATAATATTTATAGAATAATTAGGCAAATTTTAGAAGAATATTATTTGCTTAACAAAATTTTTTCAATTGGTTTTGATAATGCCGCGGCAAATACCGCTTCAATTGCCGATTTAGAAAATATTTGTAAATCCGCTTTTGGCGGAAAAATTTTTCACGTTAGATGTGCTTGTCATGTTTTAAATTTATATGTACAAGATGGTTTGAAAACTCTTGATATTTTTCTTGAACCAATAAAAACGGCGATTCAATTTTTATGGAAACATCCCAAAAAATGAAAAAATGGGGTAGATTTTGTAGAGAAAATGACAAAAAGCCAAAAAGATTTCCAAGAGATGTTCCAACTCGTTGGAATTCTACTTTCCACTTGCTTAGTGAATCTTATGAATATAAAGATTTATTATGTGCATTCATTTCTAATAATATACCTCAGATTAATTTATACCCACAAAAGTGGGGTATTTGCAAAAAAAATTTAGATATTTTAAAGGTTTTTAATGATGCAACTTATACTTTGTCCGGTGTTTATTATCCTACTACGCATTTATTTTTAGTAGAGTGTATTAATATTGTCGGAGTTTTTGAGGAATATGAAAATGATATTGAATTACAATATACTATAGTAACAATAAAAATGAAGTGGCTATATTATTATAGCGAAATTCCCATTATTTATTTAGTTGCTTGTGTTTTTTATCCGCGTTGCAAATTAGATAATTTAAGTGATTATTTACATATGTATTAGCAATGTTTACATTATGATACGGTAAATGTTACAACCATACTAAGTGAGATTAAAAACATAGTAATAGAATTATATAATAAATTTTATACAAAATATAATTTAGGTGATATTGAATCTTCTCAATCTACCGAGACACAAAATGAGAGTACAGGTAAAATTAGTAGAGGGTACCAACTTTTATTACATAGACAAAAAAAACAAAATGGAGTAATAGGAAATATTTCTGAATTAGAGATTTATCTAACCGTTTCCTTTGAGTTTACTGAATCCGAAGGTAGTACATGTTTTTTAATTTTGGATTGGTGGAAGAGGCACACAAGCCAATACCCATTCCTTTCTCTTATTGCAAAACAAATTTTTGCAACCCCTTGTTCCCCAGTTGCGGTCAAACAAGCATTCAGTGCCGGAAGTAATATTTTGGACGAACATCGTTCAAGATTAGCTCCAGAATCAGTGGAGGCTCAAGCTTGTGTTGATGATTGGACGAAGGCTCAATACCGACAACAAGAGATAGATCGGAATAATGAATTCGAATTCTTTAACGACGGAGATACCACCGGTACCGGTACCGCTACCGGAACGGGTAGCGACGACTGAGGGTAAAAAAACTATTGGAGTTGGAAAATATTTCGGGGACCCTTGTTTCTCATACCGAGCACGCCCACGTGAGCTTAGAGAAACCGAAGTATAATCCGACAACATGTGACCCCTGCGCACGGAATGCGGGAGTTCGGATAGGCTTAGGTTTTGGGGTCATTTTAGGGCATATATATTGTGCTCCTTTTTTTTTATAGATCATTGTAACGAATTGTATGGCGCTTAATGATAATTTATTAAGTTCAAGCCCCCTCTTTCTCTCTTTTTGTCCCCAAATTTGATTACAATTTACATTTTGATTACAATTTATATTGAATAATTCATTATTTCATAATTTATTATTTTTTATTTCATAATTTATTTTTAAAAATTTTAAATTATGAACCGGAACCGGAATCGGCAGGAACCGGAACCGGAACCGGACCGGAACCGGCCGGTTCCGAACCGTGGCCATGACTACTCCCGCTATTTCTCATATTGTCCTGACATTATGCGGGTTCTACACAAAACCAGAAATTTGATAAAATGAAACTAACAAAAAGAGGATAAGAAGATATGGCAATGCACCTGTAGAGCCTTTAGCCGTTCCTCCTTATCGGCTGGCTGTTTGAAAACTGCTGACATCTCGTCAACCCTTGTAAAAGTTTGCTGGAAGTACACAAAAAGACAATTTGTGAGTGGAACAGTACCTATAGAACTCATACAGTACCATAGTAGACAAGAGGCACATATTTCCTCAATCGAATAAATGGCCAGCAGCAGAGAGAAATAGGCGCATGGATGAACATAGGATACTAACCGCACAACAGAGAAATGTGATTGAATTGAGCATAACGAGCCAAAGATCTCAAGTGCAGGGAAGAAAAGATAGGCCGAGTTTTGGTTGGAGAAGATATTTTCAATTTTCACTTAATGAAAACAATCTTCAGTCCCATTTTCCTGTTTGCAGTAAACGTGCTTTGCACAAGATAATGAAAAATTTATACAGTAACTAAAACTAGAAAACGAGTTTGGAAATATATATCTTCTGGTTCATCGGTATCATCACATGGAAACAGGAGCAGAAATTCTGAAATTTCACTGGCCAAACACCCCCGGTTATTTTAGCTAATCCGCAGCCAGCATAATGACATACCTCCAGACTAAATAAATTTCAGACCACCCAAAGTTTGATCGATGCCAAATTTGGCAAGCCCACAGCAGGCGACCCACTAAGCAGACCACGTATTTCTATCACTCGTAAGCAGAAGCAAGCACACAGCATCAGATAACGAGTTGAACTGATTACCGGAGCCATCCAACGGCAAGTATCGCAATCTATGCACGTACTATCTGCAAACACGATCAGAGAGAAGTCAAACAAAGAACTCGAAAGACCGTGCGACGCGAATGCTGCCGGCTTGCTCTTCCCCAAGTCCCCACCGTTCATTCCACCATCACTCTATGAATCATATAGATCAAGCCAACGAAGAACACAGATCGTCCTCTGGAGACCATCGGACCACGCGATCACAGCGCACTGGACTCGAGGGAGGAGATGCGATGCTTTCTTTACCTACGAAGAAATCGCCGTCCACGTTCTGCGGCCGCCTCCGCCTGCGCCGCCCGGAGGAGAGAGGAGACGATGCCGGCGGCGACGGCGACGGCGAGGAAGGCGGTGCCGACGAATCGCCATTCAGCGAAGCTCGAGTGCTCGGGAGGAGTCGTCTTCTACTCACGTCTGCAACGGCAATGGAGCGAGGAGGAGCGAACGATGCGATCATCTCTTTCAACTGAACTCGAACTCGACGAAGAAGAAGAAGAAGAAGTTGTTTTCGACTCCAAATATCTGTTGGTTCGATCTCGCTGATAAGGGCATTTATTAGAGGAAAAATGAATTTCCATTTTTCTTTTTTGTTGTTGTGTTTTTTTTTTTTTTGTGGATGTAATTTTAAAGCGGAAATTATACCGAACCCCTCGACTTTGGGGGAAATACGCATTTTTCCCCCACCCCCGAATTTTCAATCAATTACGCGACATCCCAACTTTTATTTTGTTATAACAGTTAAACCCTCAATTGCAATGCACGTTTTTATATTTATTTATTTTTTGAAGGAAGTCTTTCCTTTTATCCTTAATTGTTTTAAGCATGCATACATACATACATACATACATAATCACTAATTGAGAAAATGAACAACAACAAGAAACATGACAACAACAGCAGTGATGACAACGGTATGATACTTGCTTAAATTTGACAAAGACTATTTCAATATAACTAATCGAGATTTTTTAAGGAAAAACATAAACGCTAATTATATTAAAAAGCACGACCAAAAACAAATTATATAAAAAAGGATAAGGTTTCGATAACAAAAAGATTATAAAAACTAATTGTTCATGATGTAAATTTACGAGCTTCATAAATACAACAATGATTGGTTAATAAAATTATCTAAGAAAATGTATAGAAATTCTGTTATTAATTTGTAAAAGGGAATGATTAGCCAGAACGCGATACTTTTAAATTTCTTTTTATTAATCAATCACTTATTTCATTAATAAATCATTTGAAAATATACATTGAGAATCCAATTTATTCCTTTCGAGATTGGATATTATGAGTTAAAGGGGCACCCCGTGCCTCATGTCCACGCTACTTTCCAGAAATTCGAACCCGCCTTAGGCTAAAAGTCTTCAACAGTGCATTTCTTTAAAGTTCTCCAAAAAAATTTTCCAAACGCCTTTTGCATTCGATCTAGGGATGTCAAGGGCCCGAAGAAATTCTTTACAAATTCTGAACCAAACGGGACTTTAATAACCGCTCATCGCTGAGGGTCCATTTTCACTTTCTTTTTTTGTTGGAAAGAAATCCCATTTTCATCCTTTAACATGCAAAAGAAAAAAAATTTCACCTTTTGAAAGAAAGGGAAAAATCTCTGGGGAGGTAGCTTCCAATCATAGCTCTCTGAAAAGAGAGAGAGAGAGAAAGAAAGAGAGAGGAGAAGTTTTAGAGGGGGGGACAAAGGCACTCCTCTCTCGCCCTCCCCCACTCTTCTTCTCCTCCTTCCTCTTCCTCTTCCTCTTTCGCCTTCGCCCGTCCATCGCCCGAGCTTCCCTCACTCTGCTGCTAAAACCCCTAGAGCCCAAACCCCCGTCTCCCTTCGTTCTCGCCGCAACTTCAAGCGAGGTTTTTCTGCACGAGAAGCATGAATTTGACGACGAAACCCGAGACCCATTTCGCAGAAACGGCGATGCTTGCGAACTAGAAGCGGGAGAGGCTAGAGAGCAGTCTCAGCTCCACCACTCTGCATTTATGGCGGAATCTTGAGAGACCCGCGAGGGGAAACCGAACCAAAATCTCAAATTTGGTTTCAGAATGATCAACGGTCCTGACAGCGATGCAGCAGCAGGCTTCCTCTGCACCCGCCTCGCATCCTAGCAATCCTCCCCCTCCCCCACCTCCTTCGTCCACCCCGTCCCTCAAGCGATCCCCGGCCGCCACGCCGACGACCGTTCCGCCGTCTCTGGCCCCTCTGTCCTCCGCCGCGCACCGCCGGGATGCCGCTGGGCCCGTGCCGCCGCTCGCGGCAGGGGCCGAGGCCGCTCTGACCTCCGCCATGGCGAGGGTGCGGCTCTCCGACATCGCGCCCTATGATGGGGCCCCGGCGGGCCCCTACCTCAGGGCAGTGGAGGCGTTGTCCGGGTCGCTCACGCGTCACAACGCGGCAGTGATCGAGCTGGGACCGGAGGATGCTGCGCTGATGCGGTGCGGTTTGGAGGCTGCGAAGTTGTACTTGAGGATGAGGTCCCAGGCTCCAGCCGCCGGTAAAGGGAGTCCCCGCGGGGTTTACTTGTACAGAGCCGGGAGGTGTGTGCGACTTTTATTTACTTGGTTTCTGAAAGTTTGGAGTTTGTGATTGTTGCCGAGGTCTGGTTTATGTAGAATTAGATACGAGGTGGCTGGTCGGGTGAAATTGAAATCGAGGCTTCATGCTTATAGAAGGTTGAAAGTCGAGTCTCCAATTTGTCTGTACAGATACTTGAAGTTGTAGTTGTTAGGAAGGTGCAGAAAATGGGATATGTGTGATCATGATTGGTGATGCATAGAACTTGAAGGAACGAGATGCTGGTTCTGAATAGGCACTGTGATCAAGCTTGTTTAATCAAGTTCTAGCCTCTAAGGCATTTTGTGGTCTATTTGTTTTTTATGGACTTGCATTTAATATATGGTTCCTTTGGCATGCTTTTGACATCGTTTTTACGGACAATAAATGCCGCAAATGAAATTTCTCTGGACCAAGTTATCCATATGTATCGATAGTTCCTCACTTCGTAGTTCCTCCTGTTTCGCGTCATTGTAGAAAATGCCATCTTTGGTTCCCATACCAGTATTTTGTGGACAATAAATGCCGCAAATGAAATTTCTCTGGACCAAGTTTTCTATATGTATCGATAGTTCCTCATTTCGTAGTTCCTCCTGTTTCTCGTCATTGTAGAAAATACCATCTTTGGTTCCCATACCAGTATTTTATGGACAATAAATGCCGCAAATGAAATTTCTCTGGACCAAGTTTTCCATATGCATCGATGGTTCATCTCTTTGTAGTTCCTCCTGTTTCTTGTCATTGTAGAAAATGCCATCTTTGGTTCCCATACCGGTATTTTATGGACAATAAATGCCGCAAATGAAATTTCTCTGGACCAAGTTTTCCATATGCATCGATGGTTCATCACTTTGTAGTTCCTCCTGTTTCTTGTCATTGTAGAAAATGCCATCTTTGGTTCCCATACCAGTATTTTATGGACAATAAATGCCACTGATGAAATTTCTCTGTACCAAGTTATCCATATTTATTGATTGTTCCTCACTTCGTAGTTCCTCTTGTTTCTCGTCATTGTAGAAAATGCCATCTTTGGTTCCCATACCAGTTCCTAGACATTTTCTTTGGGATGATGGTGTGGATATAAATTTGGTTGACTGGTACTTTATATAAAATCTTTGAGTGACTCCCTATTCTGGTTTGGTCTTCAATGTTCAAAATGTTGGAGGGACACATAGACATCTGTGAGTAGGTTGTTTTCTTAGATGTCTCTTGATGATCAACTACTATTACATTCTTAGGTAAACTTCCAGTTTTTAAAAAAGACTGAAGTATTTCAGACCCCTGTCCTGCAGTACATGTTTGCTTTATTTGGCTGTCTGTATATTGTAACTTCTTGAATGATTGTGCCTAGTTCTTCTGAAACTTTTCTTCCTGCTACAATGGTGGATAGAGATTGCTATCCTTCGTCTGTTTGGCTTTTAACGTAGCCCTGACTGAATTTGCTTAGTTGCAGACGTATAGAGGATTGGGATTCATCTCCCCCTTGCATGGGTGAAATTTTTAAGTGCATGGGAAAAGTTGCTCGGGCTGCCCTTTGTGCGATAGCGAGACATCTCCGGTTGCGAAGCGAGTAAGAAGGGGATTTGCCTGTACATGGCTGTATTGATTTCCTTTTCTCATTGTACTCTGGTTCTTTTCAATGGTGTGTAATTACTGAACAAATATTGTGCAGTGTATTTACTCATTTACTGGATGATATCCCATTGCCTGCTAATGAGGTGTCTTCATCAGTGCTTGTTGCATCATACTCACCCAACACATTGCCAAATGGGAAAGTCACCATTAGCGGAGGGAAGCTGAGTGTCAATGCGGAGGTTGAGAAGGGACTTCTGACATTGATTTCCTCGGATAGTCCTGGTGTACAGGTAACTTCGTTCTATCACGGAAAAATTTAGCACATTGGATCTCTAGCTTTGCCTTGGTCTTGGGAGACAATACTTATCTGTAAAATACATGTGTTTTTCCATGTTTCCTTTTCATAAGTCTACTGCTTATCATATTTCCGAGGTTTGTATATAGATATCTCTATGTGGTGCTCATTGGGTTTTATCCCTCCTCACCTGTTAGGTTTTTGACCCCAATGGCCGTTGGTACCTAGCAGATGGTGGGTCGTCTTTTGGAGATCTGTTACTGGTGACAGGGAAGGCACTTAGTCATGTTACTGCTGGCCTTCGTCCCGCTGCATTGCATAGGGCTGCGCCAGATTACTTTGCTGGCTCTTTTGGTGGTGGGAGGTATGAATTTATTTTGCCCAATTTTTTATGGCTTTGTGATGCTAAAGTCAGTCTTTTTTATATCAATGTCCATGATTATCAGGTGATGTCTTATGTTTTGCAGGACATCATTGGCTTTCAGGCTCATGCCTCAGAGCAACGCTGTATTAGATTGTTCTCCCATAGCAGCCGTAGGCCATGTCATTCCTCAGAGCTATGTACCAGTATCAGTCAGCCAGTTTATGGATGACCTTTCTGCTGAGGAGGATGCATTGTGCCCCAACCCCGAGAATGTTTGTGTGAGATATCTCTACTGAGGGCTGTTGTGTTTTGGTTGTTTTCTCCAAAGGCAGTGTCCCAAAGAGACAAACTGAAATTGTTTGAACAATTTCTTTTGAACTATTTTATCAGTACAATGACCGATTCCAGTTGCCTTGGTTGAGATGTGTGAGATTTTGTGGAACAACTACCAACTGTTCTAAAAACTTAAGCTGTTAGATGAAGGCGTGATTTAATATTTTAATTATTCTATCACTCCCCCTCATGCTTAGTCTGGTCTTTTTACCTAATATTAAGCATGGACATAATTAATTGGGAAGGCAAATGGGGCCTAGAAAGATTTGAACTCAGGACCTCCAGCTCTGATACCATGTGAGATTTTGTGGAACAACTACCAACTGTTCTAAAAGCTTAAGTTAGATGAAGGCGTGATTTAATATTTTAATTATTCTATCAAGATGGATAAGGGGAAACT